TTTTCATCATCAGCAGCAGTCATCATGACAATCATGACAACGCATCTTCCGCATTTCCAGTCGGGTCTAACAGGACGAACATGATGAGGAACATGATCATGCTTACTTATCATGTTCATCATGAGGATGCGTAGTGATGATTATTCATCATCGTCATCGTCATCATTATCATTTTCATCATCATCATCATCATCATGTTCATCATCATAATCATGTTCATCATCATCACGTATATAAAAAAAGATAAGGACGATGACGAAGAAGATGATGATGATGAGCACCGTGATGATGATGCTGGTTATGATGATGATGAACTGACATGATAATCATCATGACGCATCCTCAGCATCACCAGCAGTCATCATGATAATCATGTCCGCGCATCTTCTGCATCTCAAATTTGGTCTAACGGGACACTTGAAACGTATATAAAAAATAAGATGAGGACGCCGACGAAGAAGCTGATGATGATGAGCACCGTGATGATGATGATGATGATGATGATGATGATGAACTGACATGATAATCATCATGACGCATCCTCAGCATCACCAGCAGTCATCATGATAATCATGTCCACGCATCTTCTGCATCTCAAATCGGGTCTAACGGGACACTTGAAACGTATATAAAAAAAGATAAGGACGATGACGAAGAAGATGATGATGATGAACACCAACTGACATGATAATCATCATGACGCATCCTCAGCATCACCAGCAGTCATCATGATAATCATGTCCGCGCATCTTCTGCATCTCAAATCGGGTCTAACGGGACACTTGAAACGTATATAAAAAGAGATACGGACGATGACGAAGAAGATGATGATGATAAGCACCGTGATGATGCTGAGGATGATGATGATGATGAACTGACATGATAATCATGATGACGCATCCTCTCATCACCAGCAGTCATCATGATAATCATATCCACGCATCTTCTGCATCTCAAATCGGGTCTAACGGGACACTTGAAACGTATATAAAAAAAGATAAGGACGATGACGAAGAAGATGATGATGACGAACACCAACTGACATGATAATCATCATGACGCATCCTCAGCATCACCAGCAGTCATCATGATAATCATGTCCGCGCATCTTCTGCATCTCAAATCGGGTCTAACGGGACACTTGAAACGTATATAAAAAAGATAAGGACGATGACGAAGAAGATGATGATGATAAGCACCGTGATGATGCTGATGATGATGATGATGAATCATTGACATATATCATCATGACGCATCTCAGCATCACCAGCAGTCATCATGATAATCATGTCCTCGCATCTTCTGCATCTCAAATCGGGTCTAGCGGGACACTTGAAACGTATATAAAAAATAAGATAAGGACGATGACGAAGAAGATGATGATGATAAGCACCGTGATGATGCTGATGAAGATGATGATGATGAACACCAACTGACATGATAATCATCATGACGCATCCTCAGCATCACCAGCAGTCATCATGATAATCATGTCCGCGCATCTTCTGCATCTCAAAACGTGTCTAACGGGACACTTGAAACGTATATAAAAAATAAGATAAGGACGATGACGAAGAAGATGATGATGATAAGCACCGTGATGATGCTGATGATGATGATGATGATGATGAACTGACATGATGATCATCATGACGCATCCTCAGCATCACCAGCAGTCATGATAATCATGTCCGCGCATCTTCTGCATCTCAAATCGGGTCACACGGGACACTTGAAACGTATATAAAAAAAGATAAGGACGATGACGAAGAAGATGATGATGATGAGCACCGTGATGATGATCCTGATTATGATGATGATGAACTGACATGATAATCATCATGACGCATCCTCAGCATCACCAGCAGTCATCATGATAATCATGTCCGCGCATCTTCTGCATCTCAAATTGGGTCTAACGGGACACTTGAAACGTATACAAAAAATAAGATGAGGACGATGACGAAGAAGCTGATGATGATGAGCACCGTGATGATGATGATGATGATGATGATGAAGTGACATGATAATCATCATGACGCATCCTCAGCATCACCGGCAGTCATCATGATAATCATGCCCACGCATCTTCTGCATCTCAAATCGGGTCTAACGGGACACTTGAAACGTACTTAAAAAAAGATAAGGACGATGACGAAGAAGATGATGATGATGAACACCAATTGTCATGATAATCATCATGACGCATCCTCAGCATCACCAGCAGTCATCATGATAATCATGTCCGCGCATCTTCTGCATCTCAAATCGGGTCTAACAGGACACTTGAAACGTATATAAAAAGAGATACGGACGATGACGCAGAAGATGATGATGATAAGCACCGTGATGATGATGATGATGATGATGAACTGACATGATAATCATGATGACGCATCCTCAGCATCACCAGCAGTCATCATGATAATCATGTCACGCATCTTCTGCATCTCAAATCGGGTCTAACGGGACACTTGAAACGTATATAAAAAAGATAAGGACGATGACGAAGAAGATGATGATGATGAACACCAACTGACATGATAATCATCATGACGCATCCTCAGCATCACCAGCAGTCATCATGATAATCATGTCCACGCATCTTCTGCATCTCAAATCGGGTCTAACGGGACACTTGAAACGTATATAAAAAAAGATAAGGACGATGACGAAGAAGATGATGATGATGCACCGATGATGAGCACCGTGCTGATGATGATGATGATGATGAACTGACATGATAATCATCATGACGCATCCTCAGCATCACCAGCAGTCATCATGATAATCATGTCCGCGCATCTTCTGCATCTCAAATCGGGTCTAACGGGACACTTGAAACGTATATAAAAAGAGATAAGGACGATGACGAAGAAGATGATGATGATAAGCACCGTGATGATGCTGATGATGATGATGATGAACTGACATGATAATCATCATGACGCATCCTCAGCATCACCAGCAGTCATCATGATAATCATGTCCACGCATCTTCTGCATCTCAAATCGGGTCTAACGGGACACTTGAAACGTATATAAAAAAAAGATAAGGACGATGACGAAGAAGATGATGATGATGAACACCAACTGACATGATAATCATCATGACGCATCCTCAGCATCACCAGCAGTCATCATGATAATCATGTCCGCGCATCTTCTGCATCTCAAATCGGGTCTAACGGGACACTTGAAACGTATATAAAAAAAAAGATAAGGACGATGACGAAGAAGATGATGATGATAAGCACCGTGATGATGCTGATGATGATGATGATGAACTGACATGATAATCATGATGACGCATCCTCAGCATCACCAGCAGTCATCATGATAATCATGTCCACGCATCTTCTGCATCTCAAATCGGGTCTAACGGGGTAGCGGCGACGACCACCACGCCGATGATGATGATGATGATGATGATGATGACGATGATGATGATGATGATGTTGAATCTTCGGTTATGGACTTCTAACCGCCCTTCCCGTACGCCTCCCCCTTTGAGGAGAAGGGGTCGGCGGATTTACCATCAACTTGCCTTTTTCATTGCGAGCTCGCCGGGTAAATCGAGATCACTATGACGTAGATCCCGCAAAATCCCTTTCTTCTGGTTTTGGAAATTTCGCACAATGCCCAGATTTGTCTCCCCTTGGCGTAGCCCAGACACGCAATGACCTGTTTCTGCCTATCTGTTTGGATTGCCTTTCCATTCAAAGTCAACTACCCAAAGCTGCCTTATTCCCATCAATTGGGTGTTATGTTTCTGCTTTGGGCTTTGCTCTAGCTAAGTCCCCTGGGTTCCATCTCATGTATTGCCCCAGATATCTGGGCAAATTCAAACAGTCTAACGAGCTACGCTTGCAGCCAGGTTCGAAGCCAAAGGTGAGTCCCATTAGGTGTCAAAACACCATCATACGTCAGGTCTTGGGCTCCTAGATGGACGAACTGAGCAGGGTGTCTTGCGTCACGAGGCGCCCATTCAACATTTATGTGTTGCCCCTTTTCTCCAACAGTATCTTTCTTGACTGCTATTGGGTTGGATCTTTAGACTTTAACTTTTGGGGTACACTTTTTGCAGGGGGGGTCAACAGCAACCAAGCTTTGGGGTCAGTGCTTAGGAACGCTTCAAAGGAACGGATCTTCCACTGAGTTGCGGATGGAAGCCTTCGTTGGGCTTCTGTGGGCTGAGCAATGTCCTTTTCCGTGATCGGGTTTCAGGAGTTGGCTGATGGCTTGAGCTGTGGAAAAGCGCGCATGGGATTGAACACCCGGGCAGGCAAGATCTCATATCCACATGCCATACTCAATGGAGTCGCATATTCAGCGTGCGGCTAGACTCTTGCGGTGCACACGAGGCCCGACGTTTCCTTTGCCGACCCAAAAAGTGTGCAGGGGGCTGTACAATTGCCAATAGTCCATTGCCATAGTTTGCCTCTACAATCATGACGCAATTTCGTTTTTGAAGCACCCTAGCACCCCAAACTTGGTTGCTTTGCCCCTAGTAAGCGCATCAGAGACATCCATTTGTTCCCTGAACCTATCCCCTTGGGCCCGGAGTTCCAGTGCTGGGGAGACGCTCAGAGAGGCGAAATATGGGCGTTGCTCAACTAGGTACCCCAGAGAAAGGGTGCCAACTTTCTCACCGTTTCTTTTTTTGGTTGGGAGGGAAACCCCCTACTACAATAGACTACGGAAAAAAGGGTACCCTTATTATTCTAACCTCTCTACTGGAGGACCTAGTCAAAATGGGATTGGTGCCATAAACTAGTTGGTTTCGTGTTGGTTGCCAGTGGAGGAAGTCCACCATTTTCAGAAATTCCCCACATGAAGCGTGTCTTTTGGAGGGCACCTCTTTTTCGGGGGTGGCTTTCAAGGAAAGCCAAAAGAACACCGCGCCTTTCTTACAGTCCCCTAAAAAACACAAACTACCAACTCGGGACGTCTCTTGAGGCTTCGAGGCAACTTTCCAAACTCCTGAATCGAAAGCCGAGGCGAATGATATCAGCTGCCGAGGCAGGTGTCACTCAACCTTCACATAACTTAGCCCACCGACGGGATCCGACCTCCTGGCCTATGGGTCAAGGTCCCAAAAGGTTACTTTGGTGCATTTTGCTTGGCTCTTAGGACTAACTTTTTGCCAACTAGTGGGTGTTCCATTAAACCACTAAAAGTTAATCACTTTTAGCAGGGGAGCAGATTTCGCAACCGAGGTTCACCTTGTATCTTCACGTCCTTTGGGCAACCGGGATGCCCGCAATGAACCAAGTTGCGGCGGTGTTCAATGGCAAATGCAAAGAGGATTCGCAAAGAAGCAGATATAGTTCGAAGGAATGTGACAGCGGGGGGAGGTTTTATGCCCGCAATGAACCAAGTTGCGGCGGTGTTCAATGGCAAATGCAAAGAGGATTCGCAAAGAAGCAGATATAGTTCGAAGGAATGTGACAGCGGGGGGAGGTTTTCGTGACAATCGAGTTCCACATGGCAAGCATGGAAGTGCACTGACTACCTTTCCAGAACAAGGTCCCCCAGTAGTGCCCTTTTGCCCCTTTTAGGGGGGAGGGGTGGATTGTTTTTTTTTTTTTGTGGGCTTCAGCGGGTATCCAACTTTTGGTCAATCATACTTCAGACCAGCTATTTGATGCGGAAACCAGTTTTTGACACGCGAACCCGCCTGAAAACCTTTGCTCAGAAGCCTCTCTATCTTGGAAAGTTGTGACCCGGAGCTGTCAGACACGTAGCCAGCGAACCTTGGAGCATAGACCTTGCAGATTCTGCACAGGTGCTTTGTTTGGGACGGTGTTTGTGCTACATCGTTCCCTGTTCTCGCTTGAAGCTCTGGAAAAAACTTGGTTGCGCCCTCGTTGTCCCTAGACTCTGAAGCGAGTTGGTTGCGCCCCTTGTTTCAGTGCACACATCAAACGCCCCTTCTGGATGCAGCGTTGTTTTTCTTGGCGGTGCAGCGGCCTTCCACCAGCTGGAGAAGCTAATTGTTGACCCCCAGTGCCCTTCTCTACCAACTTGTTTGGGGGGGAGGGTTCCCCTGCTGGAATAGACTACAGAAAAAAGTTGGTACCCGTATTCTAACCTCTCCACTGGAGGACTAGTAGAGGCGATTGCTTCTCGAGTGAATAGCAGTCCTTTCCCAGTTTCCCAGTGGTGCGTGTTTTCCTTTAAGAAGGGTCCATTTGGGGGCCACTGAGCAAAACAAACAATTACCTTTTTGCCGTGTCCACTTGGCAAGCGCGGTTTTTCCACCTCACTCTCAAGTTGATATTGACGATAAAAAGGTCTTTGTTTCACGTTGCCAGGTGTGAACTTCATCCTCACTGCCATGCTTGTGAACTGCTTCTCGGCGATTGGATGGTACGATGTTGGGCGAGGCTTGTGTTTGCGGATGGCGCAAACCTTCATGCCAGCCTGACATGGTAGTTGTTGGGAAAGATTTTACATTTTTGCTTATTGTGGTTTAGTGGGAAATCCCCACTAACTGCTAAAATTTGAGAATTTGTGCTTCCCTTCCAACGTCAACCAAGCTGAGCGCCATCAACACAGTGACACATTCGGGAGGTTGGCAACCGTTAACTTGGGCCAAGAGGCAACGTCACACCGACGGTTTACGCGCAAAGTTGTGGTTCACCCTCGTTTCAACAACCCAAGACAGAGGTGACAACAAGCAATCATGGTTTTTGCAGCTTGACCTAAGCACCAAGCAGTTGTGTGGGTCAATGCTTGAAGACATCTTGCACTTTGCCCTTCGCTGAAATGATGGTAGAAACCACATATTTCTAGAAGTATAATAAAGGAAGTTTAGAAGGAACTTCTGTGTTACGGCAACTAATTGAAAACTAGCTCTCTGAGACAAATGACAAGAGAAGGAATAAGCCCGCGAGAAAAAATGCGCGCGCGTGTGGCAGGGGAAGAGAAAGTCGCAAAAAGCGTGGCCCTGTGCGTGAATCGGCATTTTCGCAGATGAGAAGCGCGAATCGGCGTCTCCGGAGATGCGAAAGCTAGCCTGTCCGCGGCGTCTGGTCGGAGCGGTCTCGGAGCGGTCTCGGAGCGGGCTCGGAGCGGGGTCGGCGCCGGGCCCATTGGCACGGCAACGCAGAGGTTTCGCAAGGTTTGAATTGCGTGGCAGGCGCAGCATTTTGGTGAGGTCGGGTGCGGATTTCGTGGCAGGCGCAGCACTTTCGCAAGCGCGCGCGTGTGGCAGGGGAAGAGAAAGTCGCAAAAAGCGTGGCCCTGTGCGTGAATCGGCATTCTCGCAGATGAGAAAGTCGCAAAAAGCGTGGCCCTGTGCGCGAATCGGCGTCTCCGGAGATGCGAAAGCTAGCCTGTCCGCGGCGTCTGGTCGGAGCGGGGTCGGAGCGGGGTCGGAGCGGGCGGAGCGGGGTCGGCGCCGGGCCCATTGGCACGGCAACGCAGAGGTTTCGCAAGGTTTGAATTGCGTGGCAGGCGCAGCATTTTGGTGAGGTCGGGTGCGGATTTCGTGGCAGGCGCAGCACTTTCGCAAGGTCAACTTTTCTCAAGGTTTGAATTGCGTGGCAGGCGCAGCACTTTCGAACTATCAGGTGCAGATTTCGTGGCAGGCGCAGTACTTTCGCAAGGTCAAGTACAGATTTCGTGGCAGGCGCAGCACTTTCGCAGGGTCAAGTGCCAAATTCGCGGCAGGCGCAGCACTTTCGCAAGGTCAAGTACAGATTTCGTGGCAGGCACAGCACTTTCGCTAGTTTAGGTATAGATAGATAGATAGATCGATAGACTAGATAGATAAACAGAGGGAGATAGATAGATGCGTAGATAGATAGACGGTTAGATAGATAGATGGGTAGAGAAAGATAGAGAAACCAGAGACATAGATAGCTAGATAGATAGAAAGAGAGATCGATAGATAGATAGATAGATAGATAGATAGATAGATGATAGATAGATAGATAGATAGAGAGAGAGAGAGAGATACACAGATAGATGGAAATATAGATAAAAGAGGTAGGTAGATAGATAGATATATAGAGAGATAGACGGATAGATAGATAGATAGATGAAAGATAGAGAAAATAGTGATAGATAGATAGATACAGATAGATAGATAGACGATAGATACATAGATAGATAGATAGATACAGAGATAGATAGATAGGTAGATAGATAGATAGGTAGATAGGTAGGGAGATAGATAGATAGTTAGTTAGTTAGATAGACAAATCGCTTCAGATATATATATATATAGATATATAGATCTATAGATAGATGGATAGATAGGTAGGTAGGTATATGGGTAGATAGAAAGAGAGATCGATAGATAGATAGACAGATAGATAGATAGATAGGAAGGGAGATAGATAGATAGATACAAAGAGAGATAGATAGATAGTTAGTTAGTTAGACAGACAAATAGATTCAGATATATATATATAGAGATATAGATAGATAGATGGAGAGATAGGTAGGTAGGTAGATAGATAGATAGAAAGAGAGATCGATAGATAGATAGATAGATAGGTAGAAAGAGAGATACATAGAGAGATATCGAGATAGATAGATAGAGAGATAGACTAGAGAGACAGATAGATAGATAGATAGATAGATAGATAGATAGATACGCGGGAGATAGATGGAGAGATAGATGGATAGATAGATAGATAGATAGATAGATAGATAGAAAGAGATAGAGAAAGAGATAGAGAGATAAATAAGTAGAAAGAAAGAGAGATAGAAAGATAGAAAGAAAGATAGAAAGAAAGAGAGATAAAGAGCTAGCTGGAGAGATAAATCGTTAGATAGATAAACAAACAGAAGATAGATAGACAGATAAATAGATAGATAAATAGATAGAGAGATAGATAGGTAAGCAGATAGATAGATAACACGAGAGATAGATAGATAGATAGGTAGTTAGGTAGATAGATAGGTAGAGAAAAATAGATAGACAAGCAAACAAAAGAAAGAAAAGACAGATAGAAAGAAGGAAAGAAGGGAGGAAGGAAAGAAAGGAAGAAAGGAAGAATGAGAAAAGAGCCAAGAAAAGAAAGAGAAAGATAACTATAGTTTTTATATTTTGGAAACTTCCGCCCACCGGCTTCGCCGGCTCTACTGGTAGACAACACATGTACTACATGTCAGAAGCTCCAAAAGAAGCAACCAAAGTAACCAGCGTTGCAGAAGAAATATTTCACGCTGGGGGAGCTTCGCGGAAAGGGTCGGTGGAAGATTGACAAATGTATGAAAAAACAAAATGAACATGATAAACAAAGCTCATTTAGCTTCAGTCTCCCTGGAAGACTGAACAAATGGAATAGGGTGATGTTAACTCAACTCCATGGTAGGCGATGGAGGCAAAAAGCCACTTGTCCTTTAGCAAGGACGAAGCCACCTTTGGGAATAAAATTGGCATGTCCTCTGGTTTCCTCCATGTCCCTTTTCGGAACCTCCAAAAATGGCAGCTTCAATGAACACCTCCAGTCAATTGATCAAGTTGTAGGGGAAAATTCCGGTGAGCCCTGCCTCTTGTCCCTTTGGGACCAGCTTTCTACCGAAGGCTCGAAGGGGAGGTTTTGCCACTGAACGCAGGGAAAGCCTTCTTGCTGGTAAAGCTTCGGACATGGGCCAGAGGTGGTGGTGTCTCTCTTTTTTTGAGGGTACCCTTTTCGGGGTTGGTTTAAAATGAAGGCTGCACTTCCTTCACTTCAGGAAGCACTCAACTTCCACCCTAAGCCCGACGAATACCAACTCATCGAAAGGGAAGCCAAACGGAAACCAGCAAGTCTCAAAAGCTGTCTGAGGCCACGTGCAATCGCTGGACCTGTCCTCCAAGACCGCGAGCCTTCGCAACCGCCTGGCCCAGCAGAGTGCCGGCGTCCTGGAGGACGTCTGGCCAGACAACTGCCCCTTTCTTCCGCTGGGCGGTTTTTGCCTTGAAAGCTCAACGAAATCAACCCCTCCTTCTGTACTCGGGGCCGGATGAATAAACCCCTCCTACTGGCGGACGGGGGGGGGAGGACGGATGAATAAACCTCTCCTCGCGGGGCAGGGGGACGGAGGGTTCCGCAAACATGATCCGAGTTCCCCAAGTTTGACTCGATGAAGATCAACCGGGGCTCTGCCGTCATCAAGCCCGGAGGTCTGGGCTTTCAGTTGCAACAGCTATGCCATGGGTTTGGGAAACTCGCATCTGCAAACCGCCAAGCTCCAAGCTCCCGTTTTCAGAGAGGCTGAAAGGGGCGTCAAGGTGCATCCTGAAGGCCGGACTTCAGGTTCCTGGTGGGAGGTTGGGGAGCTGCAGGTAATTCATTGCGCCCTTGTGTCTCATTGTGCCAAACAAAATTCGCCCTAGGACACATTAAAAAAATAAAAACAAACAAAATTCGATGGATGTTTCTTAAAAGCATTGGGACCTAAGGGCCGCGTCTGAGGCAAACACATCCAATGTAGATCCTGCCCTCTCCAATGAGTGCAATGATGCTTGGGTCCAACCAGACCTATCTGGGGAAATTCCAGCGACACGAGGGAGTGCGCAACCCCATGCATGAGGAAGCTTTCTTTCATGGGTAAGTCTCTTGTTGGGTCGGCGAATCATGACCATTCGCCTAAACATCTTCGCATATATATATATGTATAGATATACATAGATAGATATATCCAATACATGTATATACGTACAGTGTAGTCACAGCTTTGCTTTGTGACTCGGTGCCGTCGGGTGGCTAGGTGGAACCTCCGAAGAGCCATGGGGAACTAAAGTCGTTGTCTGGATTCATCCACACGTTGGTTCCCTTTTTGTCTCGTGGTGAACTCCAAAAAACCAAACGGGCGACGTGGTTGGCAGTCGAGTGTGAAGGTAGGTCCGTAAATAGTTATCTGGCCGCCGGCAGGGTGGGGGGGAGAGCTTTTGAGGTGCCCACCCGCCGCTTGTTCGCATGCGAAGTCGGAGGAGTGGGGCCCAATACCCCCAGTACTAGGCCCCTACCCGATTGCCAGACTTAGCTTGCCTTTCTGTGTTTAGCCTGTTTGGTTGTCCGTCATGTTCACTTTCAACCAGCAAACAGTTAGCTTTACCAGAGAGTATAATGAGTCTGGCCAGGTTTCCACCAGAATAGTTCTCACGGCCCCTTCCAAGAAGATTCTGAGATTGGCGGTCGTGCTGTTTCCTTGCTGACATTCCCATTCAATAAATGACCCAGAACGCTGAACAAGTGGGTCAAACTTGTCTGCGGGGGGAATAAACTTGTCTCCACAATGGACAAACAACCCAAACCAGGAAGCCAACTTAGATCTTCAACCTACTGAATCAGTAGGTTCTGACTAGCTACAGCCATGTGGTGATGAGTGGCACAGTGGGATAGCCTCGTGGAACCGCTGGCGCAGGGTCGACGTGTGTCAGGACCTGCTCACCAAGAACTCCACTTTGCTCCACCTGAACTTGGCATCCACCAACCTGGGCTTTGGAGGCGCGATATGTGTTTGCCGATGCTCAGAAGGAACTTAGCTACGTAGGATATTTTCAAGGGAAATCACCCGTTCTGGGGTCCCCTCATTTTAAGACACACCCAAATGTAGGATTGCCAGACGTGGCTTAGTTGATACAGCTGTTTCGGGTGTTCACCCAGTTTCCCTTACCAGCAACATCTACTTGGCGGTCGAAGTCTGTGCCTGATCCTTCACTTTTGGGCATTGATTTGCGAGGTCTAGCAGTCCAGGGTCGGCGCTTTTGAAGTGGCAATTCTGCGGTGGTGCGTAGCAGTCGTTTGAAGTGTTTTGTACGTACCTCGCCACAATGCGATGGCTTTTTGGGAAAATTTACACGCTGACGGCCACCGGGCACCTTGCCCTGCCCGTTCTGTCACTTCCCTTTCCTGTAAGTCCGATTAGTAGATGTTAAGATTTTAAAATTCTACAAACTTTGAGATTCTAAGGGTCTCAGATTTGAAGACTTTCGGAATTTAAGGTTTCAATGGTGTAAGAATTAAGGTTTTAAGATTCAAAGATTTAAGGTTTTTGAAGGTTATAACAGCCAGGCCATTGCCCAGCCATTTTCCATCCAGTATCAGATTTCGAAGGCTTTAAGATTTTATTTTTGTGAGACTTTCAGATTTGGCGACTTTCGGAATTTAAGATTTTAAGATCTGAAGATGTCAAGAATTCAAAATTCAAGATTAAGAGTTTAAGGAATTTAAAATATAGCCCGGATTGAAGGAATTTTATTATATTTTACTTGTTTATGAATTTAATATTTTCAGATTGCAATAGTTCGAGATTTAAAGAATTTAAGTTTTTGAAGCTTTTAAGATTCTGAGATTTTAAGATTTTGAGAATTCAGGAAATTCAATTTTTAAGATTTTAACATCTGAAGATTGAAAGACATGAGGGTTTTAAGAAGTCAAGATTCGAAGACTTTAGGATGTTTATATTTTCAGGTTGTAAGATTCTAACTTCTAAGGTTGTAATTTTAAGATCTTAAGGTTTCAAGATTTCAACATTTCAAGATTAAGAGTTTAAGGAATTTAAAATATAGCCCGGATTGAAGTAATGCAAGATTTTAATAAGTTAAGATTTTCAGATTTCAAGTGTTCGAGGTTTAAAGAATTTGAGTTTCAAAGCTTTTTAAGATTCTGAGATTTTAAGAGTGTAAGACTTTAGGAATTTCATATTTTAAGAGATTGATTGTTAGATTTTAAGTTAAGATTTTAAGAATCTAAGACTTTAGGATTTTGAGATTTCAGCCCAGCATTTTCCATCCATTTTCCATCCACTTTAAGATTTTAAGATTTTCAGGTTGCACGTGTGCGGCAAAATTGGCCCGACTTAGGGGACAACATCACCCGCATCGCCAGCATGCACAGCATCCGCATCATCCTGGATGATGCTGGCAATGCTGGGGGTGTCGTCCAGTATTAGGCACCCCCAAAAAAGTGCTCGTTTTGTGACTCTGCGGGGAGATGCTACAAAAATCCTCGAAAATCGCTTGAACAAATCCGCAAATCCTTCGCCCCTTAGCAGGCTTGGCGCAGCGCAAAAGTTCTGCACATGGTCGGCGCATGGTCGGCGGCATGGGGCGCGCGGCCTTATACCTGAAGGTAAGCCCTGCGGGCTTTGGCCTGCGGCCCGATCACGTCCGGTGGCCGGATGGGCTGCCGCCCAGTGCCGCCGACCCCTTCAGTTGGATGGGTGCCGTGGCCCATCATCGTCATCATCACGGTTATCATCATCGATGATAACCATCATTATGCATCCTCTGCATCACCAACAATCATGATGATAATGATGACTGCGCATCCTCTGCATCTCCAATCGGCTCTAACGGCACTTTTGAATCGTATATGAAAAAGATAAGGATCGTCATCATAGCCGTCGCCCATCATCGTCAGCATCACCGTTATCATCATCGATGATAACCATCATCGTGCATGCTCTGCATCACCAACAGTCATGATGATAGTGATGACTACGCACCCTCTGCATTTCCAATCTCATTATCACCGTTATCATCATCGATGATAACCATCATCGTGCATCCTCATTGATGATAACCATCATCGTGCATCCTCTGCATCACCAACAGTCATGATGATAATGATGACTACGCATCCTCTGCATCTCCAATCGGCTCTAACGGCACTTTTGAATCGTATGAAAAAGATCCGTCGCCCATCATCGTCATCATCACCGTCCTCATCATCGATGATATCCACCATCGTGCATCCTCTGCATCACCAACAGTCATGATGATAATGATGACTACGCACCCTCTGCATCTCCAATCTCATCATCACCGTTATCATCATCGATGATAACCATCATCGTGCATCCTCATTGATGATAACCATCATCGTGCATCCTCTGCATCACCAACAGTCATGATGATAATGATGACTACGCATCCTCTGCATCTCCAATCGGCTCTAACGGCACTTTTGAATCGTATATGAAAAAGATAAGGATCGTCATCATAGCCGTCATCATCTCCGTTATCATCATCGATGATAGCCATCATCGTGCATCCTCTGCATCACCAATAGTCTACGCCTCCTCTGCATCTCCAGGCACTGTTGAATCGTATATGAAAATGATAAGGATTATCATCACAGCCGTCGCCCATCATCGCCATCATCACGGTTCTCATCATCGATGATAACCATCATCGTGCATCCTCTGCATCACCAACAGTCATGATAATAATGATGACTACGCGCCCTCTGCATCTCCAATCTCATCATAACCGTTATCATCATCGATGATAACCATCATCGTGCATCCTCATTGATGATAACCATCATCGTGCATCCTCTGCATCACCAACAGCATGATGATAACGATGACTACGCATCCTCTGCATCTCCAATCGGCTCTAACGGCACTTTTGAATCGTATAAGAACAAGACAAGGATCGTCATCCTAGGCGTCGCCCATCCTCGTCATCATCACCGTTATCATCATCGATGATAACCATGATCGTGCATTGTCTGCATCACCAACAGTCATGATGATAATGATGGATCGTCATCATAGCCGTCGCCCATCATCGTCATCATCACCATTATCATCATCGATGATAACCATCATCGTGCATCCTCTGCATCACCAACAGTCATGATGATAATGATGACTACGCACCCTCTGCATCTCCAATCGGCTCTAATCATGGCCGTCGCCCACCATCGTCATCATCACCGTTATCATCATCGATGATAACCATCATCGTGCATCCTCTGCATCACCAACAGTCATGATGATAACGATGACTACGCACCCTCCGCATCTCCAATCTCATCATCATGATAATCATGTCCACGCATCTTTTGCATCATCAATGGGCTCTAACGCCACATTTGAAATGTATACTATACAAAGACATGGCGACGACTACGTATCAGCATCACCAGCAGTTCTCTTGATAATCATGTCCACGCATGATGATGATGATGATGGTGGTGCGTCATCATCACCCTTATCATCATCGATGATACCCGTCATCGTGCATCCTCTGCATCACCAACAGCCATGATGATAATGATGACTACGCATCTTCTGCATCTCCAATCGGCTCTAATCATGGCCGTCGCCCATCATCGTCATCATCACCGTTATCATCATCGATGATAACCATCATCGTGCATCCTCTGCATCACCAACAGTCATGATGATAACGATGACTACGCACCCTCTGCATCTCCAATCTCATCATCATGATAATCATGTCCACGCATCTTTTGCATCACCAATGGGCTCTAACGCCACACTTGAAATGTATACTATACAAAGACATGGTGACGACTACGTATCAGCATCACCAGCAGTCCTCATGATAATCATGTCCACGCATGATGATGATGATGATGATGATGATGGTGTTGCTGATGATGATGATGATGATGATAATGATAATGATATGAAAAATATTGCAGATGATGATGATTATGATGATGATGATAACTGTCATCGTAGCATCCTCTGCATCTCCAATGGTGATGACAACTATCATTGTGGCAACGCATCCGCAGCACCCTTCCCGTGCGCCTCCCCCTTTCAGGAGCAGGGGTCGGCGGATTATTCGAGGATTCTTGGGTGCGGTCATCAACCACTGGCCATGACCTGGATCTTTGACCAATGGCTCGCAGGGCGTTTTTGGGAGGAACCCCTCTTTGGTGCAGGGAAGCAGAAGGAACCCATCGGCGTCCCCGAATCAATTTCAAGATGGCCTGTCAGGGATGAGCAAAGTAGCGGGAAATGGACAGCCACGTTGGTACAAGGCAAGTAAAAAGCTGGCCATGGCTACCCACCAATACCCACAGCTTCATGCCTTGTTGGTCATTGATTCCCAGAAAGCCTGAGAAAAGATCAACAGAGTGCAGGGATAGCTTCCCCCGACCAAAACTGTTTTTGGGCATAGTTTCGTGGGAACACAGTCACATTGAATCCCTGGTTGGGTGATACGGGTGGGGCTCCTTCGACACGTGCAGATAGAGCCCCTCTTTGAGCAATTGAGGCCAATATGCCCTCCGGCTTAATTTCACCTGTGAAAGCCAACCATGCTGCTGCTTGACGTGCTCTTTTGCGCAGCTAACGTGAGGGCCATCTGATTCACCATTTCCGTTTGGCTGTTTGCAAACCAAGCGGATCCCTTGACCTCAATGTGTCAACACCTAACCTCCCTCCACATAGAAGTCGATTACTTTCAGAAGCGTGTATATATATATATGTATGTATGTACATATATATATATATATGTAGTATCACAAGTCGGTGTTCCATTCAAGCGGGTTGGGTCATCTACGGCTCGCCCCCTGTTGACACACCAAAAGAGATCGCAACCTGGGGGCTATCAACTCCCGTTTGGCGAAGCGGTCGTTGGCTCCAAAGCAGTTCCGGAGTGGCGGGGTGGCTAGGTCCCCCAGTAGTGCCCTTTCTCACCCTTTTTTCGGGGGAGGGTTCCCCTACTAAAATAGACTACAGAAAAAGAAAAAAAGAAAAGACAAAAAAGGAAGAATAAAAACGGGTACCGACTTATTCTAACCTCTCTACCGGAGGACCTAGGTGGTGTCCCCGTGGTTTCCATTTCGAAAAACCCAACCAAGCGTCGCCTCCATTGGTCTGTTCAGGCGCTCAGGGCCTTGCGCGGGGATTGGTGCATGGCCTCAGCATGTCGTGAGGAGGTGGCATAAGCACTGGACATCATTTAGGTGGGGATTCATGTCCAACCACTTTTGAGGAGGCTCCAACTCTTAACATTCATAAGGCAAGCCTTGAGAGCCAGCCTTCGTCGGTTGGCCAACCAGTCCAACCAGAAAGGTGCTAAAGGAACCTGTCGTTTAGAACCTCGATAAATTTCTGTCAGAATCTGTGGGTGGCGTTGGCATCGAGGGCACCCTTCTTGGGGATTGTTTAAAGAAAAACCAGAAGAATACCAACGCCATTCTGGGAGTGCCCTTGTTTTGGCACATGTCCGTTTAGGGAATCCACCGCGCAAAGACTTTGAACGCGCTCAAAGCATCTTCCCAGGTTCAGTTCGAGTGGCTTCGTGGAGTATCGACGTTTTCGGGTAGAAGAGTTGACCCCCTGTTCCCCAGAAAGGTTGGCAAAATCCTAAGCACCCATCCTAAGACGGTTCTTAGAGCCTGGGTGGGAGGGGACTGCCTGTGCTTCCTTCCCCCTGTTGGTCTCTTGGTTTTCCAGTTGCTCATGTTGAAGTCACACGCAAACCTTGTTGCCATGTGTTCACAATTGTGGGATTTCCCATTTGTGTCATTACAGGGAAACACAGGGAATTCGCTCGGTCTCTTGGCAAATGCCAGCGGGCCCAACGGAGAAGAACCGATGCCCCTAGCCACGCAAAATTCAGTCCATAAAGGATGGTGTTGCGGAGAGCCAGCCCCTCCCTGCCCTGACAGACAAATGAACACCCCCTTTTTAATCAACCCCTGTTTACTAATATGCGGGTGTCCCTGGTTTTAGTGGGGATTGTTCACTTTTGGAGGGGAACACCCCATCAATAAACTGGGGTGGATTAATAGGGGGTCAACATTAATTCCAGATAGAAGTTGGGTCTTTCCTGCGGCCAACCAGGCCCATCCTCACAGATTTGTTGGGACCCATTTAACGGTGCCCAGGTGGGGAACCACACGCTCCAGAGCCTGGACTGTGGATGTCGCGCGGGTTTCCAGAACACTCGGATCGCAAAGTTTCAGACTTTGGCTTAGGACCATTCCACGAAAAGCATGGGTGTCCTCTAAGCTTGCTGATTCCCATACTCTTCAGCTTGACCTTGAGAGCCGCAAGTTCTTGACATATCCCACTAAAATTCCAAGCATCCAACAAAAACCGAGCTTTTAGCAGCGCATCCAACGAGACGTCTCTCCAAATGGACCGATCACAAAAAGTTGATTTGTTTCAGCCGACCTTTTAGCAGTGGATCAAGGAACCAGACCTCTCCAAACGGCCGGGCTGGAGGCTTCACGAAGCCAGGACATCTCTCAGAACGACATCGGGGACCGGGGCGGCACCTGCGTGGCAGCGGCCCTGAAGGACCCCCACAGCAGAATCCACTCAAAGCTAGGTCCATCTAGGTCCCCCAGCAATTGGTGCCCTTTTTAACCCCTTTTTCGGGGGGAGATTCGGCTCCCCTACTAAAATAGGCTACAGAAAAAAAGTTTACCAACTTATTCGAACCTCTCAAATCTGGAGGACCTAGAAAGCCTTTCCCATGAAGTGGACCTAGAAATCTTGTATTTGCCCTCCCTCATTTGCAAGAATCTGTGTTCCAAGAATCCCTCCCTCCAACTGTGGAGCTGATAGGGTGTGGGAAGACGATGTTCCTTTTGAACCCCCTTGTGCATGATTGGAGCCTGGATTTCTAAGTACCATTTCTGGATGTTTGGGAGCTGTGGGGAAAATTTCGGACGCAGACCTCCAGAACGCCCTTGCGACTTTTGGCGGGTTGAAACCACCCCTGACAGAAGACTCGATCTTTTCCCATGGGATGTTGACCCGCAGGATGACATTCAACAGGGCCTGGTAGACTTGGCCCTGGGTTCCGTCATTGGCACTTTTCAGAGGAAGGTGATCCTGTTCCGGAGGGGGGAGGCGTCGGCCAAGACGTGTGTGTGTGTGGCTTACGGTTTGCAAGTCGGACATGTTTTTTCCAGGGTCTGACATAAAGGGAAACCAAACAGAAAGAGCCGACTGGGAACCATTCTACAAACCCGGTTCGTGGCAGCCAACCATGAAATTGGCACAACTCATTCACGCGGGACTGTCTGTTGGTTGATTACACCCACTAGGTCCCCCCGTAGTGCCCTTTTTTTCCGTTTCTTTTTTGGGGGAGGGTTCCCCTACTAAAATAGACAACAAAAAGAAAACAGTTGGTACCTTTATTCTAACCTCTCCACTAAAACACCTAGTCGCGCTTCAGATTTCCAGCGGGTGCGCGGCAGGGCGGAAGTTCAGGGTAGAGGACCTCCCACAATGCTTCTCTCCTCGGGTTCCTTTCAAACGCGAGGCTCGTGCTGAAAGTTGAAAGTGCGCTTCCAGGGATCCGAATCTCAGGAAACCCGCAGAACCTCCGGGGAAACAGATCTGGTTTTGAGAATGGAGAAGGAATCACCCCCTACATGTTTGGTCCATGTTCAGTAAACTTAGTAGACAAGGTCCGCCAGTAGTCCCTTGTACCGTTTCTTTTTTGGGGTTTTGGGTTCCACTAAAATAGACAGAACAAAGTTGGTACCCCTCGAGTTTTGTTTGGCTTCGGGCGGAATCGATATTTTTCTCCAGGACTGTGGGCTCTTAGACTTGAACCTCGCGGACAACCGCATCGGCGCGCCAGCTCCGTTTGGCCGGGTGTGGATGCCCTTGATGATAGGTTCCCACTAGAATTTGTCCAAACCCAAAAACCTTCTTTCTTTTTGGTTCCCCGTTTTTTCCCCCCCCTTTTTAATATACATATATATATATATATATATTCCGCATCTTGGCATCAACATGAGTTTCTGGGGGGACCAGTTCGTCAAATGTGACAAATAGAGGCCTGAGGTTTCAGCCGCGTCTTTTCCGCGTACCAGTCGGAGGTGCACAGCAGCACCTGCGTACCGTGCTGCATGTGTGTAGCAATTCATCTTGCCGTGCCTCAAGTGATGTACCTACTTCCCCAGAAATTTAGCTTCCCTTTTTTTTTGGGGGGGGGGGAGTCCCTTTGTTTTCCACTCACCAGGCATTTTTTTTCTGTCCTAATCCCAGGCTTGCCTATGTGTGCGCGTGTGAAGCGCAACATTCTCAATTGCTTGAAGTGACAATGGTGACGAGGAAAGTTGCAGTTCACTGCATTTTTACCCTCCCCTCAACCTGTCTCTGTAAAGTACAACATGTCGAACATGATGCTGGCTGCTGTATGTACCGTTCCTTGCTTGCACGATGACGTAAGCCATTACTGATCCCTTAAGAGACCAGCCCAGGCTGTACAACTATCCTTTGACCTACTTGAGGAGGCTGTACACAAGCATCTCAGCCATGTAGTTCAGAGATCCGTCATCTCTGATGTTCGCGCATTGCTTCGCCGCTTGGTTCATTCGGTCGCTGTCTCGTTTGTTGTCTCCACAGTGGGGTGCTACGCTATTCGGATACATCTATGCGGTGAAAGACATCGAACGCATCCGAGGACATCCGGATTCCACACATGGTGCATTGCGCAGAGTCAGGATTTCTGGCCGGACTACAGCAGCGTCAACGAGTACTGGGAGCCGGAGTGATGTAGCTGAGTCCTGTATAGCCCATCACTTGGGTTGTGATGGCGCCATCTTCACCGGGCATTCGCTTGCAGAGCTTGCAGCGCCAAGCCGAAGAAGCTGCTGTGTGTGTTTCCCGGAAGCCAAGTCGGTGGGCCAAGTCGATGTCTTTGTGCGACGTTGAGATAGTCTTCGCCTGGCCATCATCGCTCTGTGTGCTAGAGGCGGGTGGCAGCCACCTCCAACATGCGATTGGAGTTCGCATCTCTGTGTTTAATTTGTTTGGCTTGGGGTTTCGAATTTCGAACCCTGGCTCATGTCGCGCGGGTTGCTGGGGGGTTCCGATCTAGGTCCCCCAGTAGTGCCCTTTCTCACCCTTTATTGGGGGTTCTCCTTAAATTAACTTCGGAAAAAGTTGGTACCCTTCACTCTAACCTCTCTACTGGAGGACCTAGCCATCTCTATGCTGCAAACGAAAATGCGATCAATCCAAACGCCGCCAGGGGACGAGGGCTTTCTGAACCTTGGAGCTTGCCTGGGTGCACTGCCCCGGGAGACCCAGAGCTCAGTGCCCGGCGGCCCAAGCTTTGCTCTCCCCACGACCAGCGTCCCTGGGTGAAATGTGGGGATTCAGACCACTTTTGGAGGGGCCCCTACCTCCAAAAGAATAAGCTGTGGTTGATGATTATGGGGTCGGCATGAAAGTGAAGATGAACTTCCTCTAGCGTGATCTTCAATGATGGCACGAGCTATTGGTTGTTCTGCAGGGGAACGTGGTGACTCATCATGCATCAGCATGGTTGCTTCTGAAGCCATAACTCCTGACGCAACAGTGAGTGGCTTTCTTTTTGCCGGCGTGTTTCTTCACGCTGCGCAACTGCTAGTTCTTAAAAAAAAAAAAAAAAAAGAATATCGTCTCAAAAGCAACATGATGGCTGAGGACGAGCTTGGAGCAGCAACGGGGCATAGATACCCATGATGCGTGTGGGTGAAGATGCCAAGCTTTCACCTACTTTCCGCCTCGCTTTGGGCAGGCTAGTTTGCACACTGCAGAATTTGGCTAACTTTTCCTACACCTGATCTTTGACCGCTAGGGTTACGCGCGGAGCAGCAGTTCACGTGGAAGCACGCGGAGGGGCTTTGGAGTCCCAGTTTGGGCGCCTTGCTGACCTTCGGGCAAAATAAGGCAAGCAGACGCAACTCTCGCGGCCTGAGCCAAGAACGCTGGGCGCTTCCCAGCCTCAACAACCACCTTGCGCTGCGTGATGTTGCTCGCGCAACACCACGCCAGGGCGGCTTTGCGCGTTGGATCGTCCCGCGCTCGCTCGCGCCGCGCGGGCAAAGCGCTTGCTCGAGGCCTCTTCGCGGGACTCACCCGAGCCCATCCGGCTTCGAAAGCAGACAGCGCCGCACGGTATTCGCCCTCTCTTTCTTCTGATTTGCTTTCCCTTCGATATCAAGTGCCAGCAAAAGGCCCTTTTTTTTGGCCACGGGGATCTGAAGCTTTCTTGTTTTTTGGAAGGTTTCGGTACGGGGCACGCAGCACACCTCTCGCTTGTCAAATACGTTCAAGGGCTTTGCTGTTTAATTTTCCCAGGGTAAGGCTTCATCCTAGAACTGGCCCTTTCAATGGAAGTCTTCAGCGCCCTGGCTATTTTTCAGGGGTTCAGGCGCTGTCTTGGCGAAACGCCCGAGTCCTGTACGAACGTCCAAGCTGATTCTTTCTCACAATCTTACAGGGCTTCTGTGAAACTTATAGATTTGCTCCCCGACGCGGTTTTGGGTTTGCAGGACGCTTTCGGGTTGTGAGTTCGTTTCTGGGAGGCGCTTCGGGCGCGGGCTTCTTTTGGGATGCTGAGACACGGGCGCCCTTTGTAGGATTGTGTCAAGTATTTTGCCTCCACCCATCGGGCCCCATTGACCGACATCAGCAGAACAGTAAAAGGGGAGCATCCTTGAAGGAAAGGGCCGTGTCTCTGAGACCATGAACTTAAATAGGGACTAGCAGAGTTGCCAGTTTGTTCAAAACCAAGCCTTTCCCATACCTTAGCAGGGCGTCCCCGATCAAAATCAACCGGAGGGCCCCATGCTGTTTGCTAGCCAAGTTCAAGACTTGAATGCTCCTGAACAAGAAGTTAAACATGTAGCAGCCATTCGTTTCAGGACATGTGCATTCCCGGGTTGCCCAACCAACAAAACAGGGCCTAAGGCCTTTGTTTTTCGACGCGTGCTTGGACAGAGAGCAGGCCTTCACGCGCAAGCGCGCTCGTGCTGAGTAGGGTGCCAGCCCCTACCAGAAGATCATGCGGCATGACAACTTGACAAAACAAAGCTAAATTCGACCCGGGATGAGCTGGAATATGTTTTTTTTGCAGATGAAGGGGCATCCCCCCGAACCTCTCAAATAGTACGTCAACCAGGGTTGCTCTCAAGCTGTTCCTTTGCGTTTTTGATGGGTCCCTGGAAAAGATCACTGGGAATCATAGGCTTGTGGTTCCCCATCAAACAAACTTCAAGCATGGCCCTGGGGTGGTCAGTTTGAGGTCCAACACAGTTCCCAATCCTGACCCCTTTAATGGAGGGCCCAACAATGTGCAGGGTAGCAAATTGGACTTCACCCGCAATACGTGTAAATGAGAGGACTGGCAGGAGCTTGAGCCATTGAGCGTGTGTTTTTTTCAGGCTGCCGTTGTGGATTAAATTAGAAAAACCAACAAAAAACGCCAACCAATGGCACAATGTAACCAAGAACAACCTGTTTGGGGTTTCCCTTAAATGGTTCGAAACCCAAAGATTTTGGGGCTCCCCTACTTTGTCAGAAACCCGAAAAAGTTCTTTTTGCCGCTGCGCTCCTCCGCCCAGTTTTTCCCCTGCGAACTCCGAGGTGGTCCAGGGCCTTGGATCCCCAGAAGGCTGGTTCTCAGCGTCCGGGTAAATGCCTGGCACTAAGCCGATGGCAAAAAACAGAATTGCCTGCCCTTCTGGTTTGTTGCTTTTTTGGGGTTCCCTTTGTTCTCCACCAACCAGGCAAACAAGATATTTGCTGGGGTCCTAAATCCGGCCAAGGTAAAAAAACGGTTCAAACCTCAAGGACTTGAACTTTGAACAGTCGGGAATCACCAGCGTCTTTGAAACCAAGGGATCCCCATGGAAACCATAAGGGATGGTGTATGAGCTTTCATGAACTCACGCCTTCCCCCGGGCCCCTGACTGTCTCAACGGAATGCTTTGGGACCTGTGGGCTTCACACTTCCCCTCTCAATTGTTTAGAGGGCTCCCACACTGAGACACTTGGAAGTGCAAATTTGATGTTGCAATCTTGTGGCCAACTACATCCTGAGGTACCAAAGGGGGCCAGCTGACACTTCGCTTTGGGGCTTGGTAGTGCAACGCCCTGAAGGTCCATTGCATGAGGCTTTGTGTCTTGGCAAAGAAAGGTCACGTCAGAGGTCCTGGCAAACTCGTCGGGGGAGCAACTCCTGGGTTGCCTTTCGTCATGCTAGAAATGATGGGCTGTTCAAAAGCAAACCTCCATCCTTGCCCTGAGGGATTCTTGGCAGAAGGGTGCCAATCAGCCAGCGTTCCGTCAACGGCATGCAGTCCGCCCAGCTATTGTGGGCCCCGTTTGTGGCTGGTTCCCCAACCCCCTTTTTGCTTTGTGTGGAGAGTGTTCTTCCTTTAAGAATAACTACCAGAGAAAACGCCAGCTTCTTGAGCCAGCTCACTTTGGCAGTTGTACTGCCGCATCAACCGGATTTCTCCTTTCGAGCCGCGAGCATGCTCTGCTTGGCAAAGGCAGGAAAATTTCCCCCACCCCGGACTCCTACAGTTTGGCAGAGCCCAGTCTGGGAGGACTTCGTCCAAGACCTAAGAAGCCGAAGGCCCGTCATGTACACCGCGCCAAGCTGAAGCTGTTGGGGCCTACTCGAGTTAGCCACCTTGACCGCCCTGGAGCTGATTAGACTGACAAACTCTTGGGGAGCAAATCATATTTTGTCCGTGATCATATGAGCACGGGGCAGCATGAGCTTTGGAAGCCTAAAATGGGTGGTGAATTCACCTATCCCAAAATTGGGATCGATCCCAAAACGGTTTTGACCCACAGCCATCAAGTACAGATTTTCGTCCAATGTCCCGATTGATTTACCGATTCCCGACCGATTCCGGGGTGTCTAATGGAGGGCTCGGGTCTTCCATTGAAAGGTCCAGCCTCTGGGAATGTCCTTTGGTCCATAGGCTGCCGCCAAGTACGTTGACAGCGTCCACTTCTTGCGGCGCCTGGTACTGGAAGTGGAGGAGAAGGACCCGCGGGGCGTCTCATGGCGTACTGGAAGGCGTCTCGGTCTAGAGGAGTCTTCGGGATCTTCCTTTGGCGTCCCTTCAATACCACAACTAGGTCCCCCAGCAATTGGTGCCTTTTTTTTGGGGGGAGGGTTCCCCTACTAAATAGACTACAGAAAAAGGGTGCCCTTATTCTAACCTCTCTACTGGAGGACCTAGACAAACAGATCCCATCAACAAAGAGCCACTTGGAGGAACCTTCCGGGTTGCTTAAACCCAGCTTGCAAAAGCATAGAGTTGCGCAGAGGGTATCAGTTAAGGACAAGAACGTGCCATGCAAAGCGGTCGCAAGAAGCTTGGCCAGTGGCAACATCTCAACGACAGTTCTTGGGGCCACCAAGATAAGCTTCCTAGCGATAGTGCTTCTTGGTTTACTTGAGCGCCTTCCAGTTTCAGGTCGGGAGTGAAAACAGAGGGCCTATCACAGACCTAAATTACTTTGGCTTCACAAGCCCTTCCCCAGAATTAGCTCCCTTTTTTGCCGCTTTTTTTTTTCTCGCTTTTGTGTTCTTCGCTTTTTTGGGGAACCCCCGTTGTTTTCCACCGACCAGGCGAAAAAAAGAGCTCATCTTTTGGCTGGGGTCCTACTGCCCGCCCAACGGGGCGACTTTGGGCCTGCGAACCTGGCAGGGGCCAGTCGGCTCCCTGCTCGGCTTTTGGGCGCGTACCTTTTTGGGTGGTTTCAAAGGGAAACCAGCAGAAATACCATATATATATATATTATATATTATATATACATATTTACTTATGTGTTGTATTTATTTTGTTTGTGTTTCATTCATCTATATGAATTTGTTTGCTTGTTTATGTTATGTTATGTTATGTTATGTTATGTTATTTATTTGTTTATTTATTTATTTATTTATTTATTTATTTATTTATTTATTTATATATATATATATATATATCTAGTTATTATATATATATATATATTGAGGGGTACCCTGAAGCCACACCCACCTTTGGATGACAGGACCAAGTACTTTGCGCTTGGGTGCCGTATCTGCCGAATCTTCGGTGTTTTTCTCATCTACGTTCTCCGCTTGGCAATCGAGCTCCTTAGGGAGGAGGGGAGGGCAAATAAGCCCTAAAGAAGGCCTTATTTAGGGCTTAAGGGCAGATTTGGGCTCCCCCCCCTCATCCCTCCCCCCCAGCCCCCAACACCTGGTCAGTATCCTGCTTCCTTTCGCAGGGCTTAAAAGAAATCTCCATTGCATTTCCAGTTGACAAATGGTGCGTTTTCAAGAGCAAAACAAAGTTGGAAACACCATGTACAAGTTGCAATGTTCGATCGGTGTTTTTCATGCATCCGGATCCCTGCTTCGGTTGCGTGATGTGGGAAAAAACCAAGGGGAGTCCTTGAGCTGTCCGTTTTGGGGTGATGTACTCAGTGGAAATATCGAGGCACAGTTCTCGCCCCTTGCCCCCATTGAACTCTCATTTTAAGGACGGGGCGTTCCTTTGGAAGCTGCTGAAAGGGTTTTCTCGGACGATGATCCTCCAGAGGTGCCCATGTCCAGAAGTCCAAAGAGAGCATGGGTAGTCTCCCCTTGGGCATCCTGGTGTGTGTGTTTTTTTTCCTTTGGGGAGAACCTCCACTTTCCACTGAAATAGAAGACCATCAGGGAAGCCGAGCCAAGATGGGTGTGTTGTTGGTGTTTGCTTCATAGTTTGAAAGGGAAAGCAAGAAGTTGAAGGAATCTCTTTTTGGGGCTCCAAATCCCCCAGTTCGAGGGGGGCAAACCCCAAGCCAAAAGCCAGCTCTTCAATTTTGAAGCTCCGAATTTGCAGAGGGCGCCCCCAGACCAAACACAAAGCCGCCCAGCACAACACCTGGAGGAGCTGCATGTGGTCCCCCACGGCTCGGATCTCACCCACCTGCAGAGCATCCAGGATCCAATGCGACCGAGAAAAATCAGGGTTGCTTAGGACAGCCCGAAGGGAAACCAACCATCTTCGTGGGGTGAAAGCCAAATCTGGTGATGATTGGAAGTCCGCTGGGTATGAGGGTTGTCGTTGGGACGCATTTTACATTTTTGTTTTTTTGTGGTTTAGTGGGAAATCCCCACTTACCTGCTAAAATGTAAATTTTTGCTCCCCTTCCAACGTCGACTAAGGTATGATTTTTCATGGGTCCAAAAGGACCATTTGGATTGGATTGCCCCCACAGCGACCAGGTGGGTTGCCCCCTTCGAGCGCAAGGATTTGTTCTGAGTTTGGCTGTGGAACTCTCGTGCTCTAGCTGTACTTAGGGAATTTTATTTTCGATTTTTTCGGGAACTTGCGCAGAGCAAACATGGATCGGGAAAAGGGGGAGGGGGATCTAGTTATTTCTCAATAGAACGGTGGGTGAAGCGTGGGGAGGACGCAACGTTCAGAAATGCAAACAGCACAGTCTCTCTATGACCTGTTGCTGGCAGAAGATCCCTCACAGCATGGTTGTTGTTGGGCAACATGTTACATGTATGTTTATTGTGGTTTAGTGGGACATCCCCAGTTAACTGCTAACATTTAAATTGTTGCTCCGCTTCCAACGTCAACCAAGACAGGTTTTGCATGTGAGGCGATTGAGACAGCCCGTTTTGCCTCCCAAGGATCTGCCCACCCCCGCTGCTTCCGGGAATATGTTTTATTTCCCCTGTTGGTAATAAAGGGAATCTGTCACTATTGGAGATAATTGTGTTTTTTTCCAGGGGTCTTAACCAAATGGAAGCAAGGAGTCGTGCAATCCCTCACAATTCCCCTGAAGTTGGACTTTTCTGGACGGTGTTCAGGGATACCAAGAAGAAGCCAATCACATCATGACATGTTTTTCTTGGGGAACTCCCCAAATACGCCCCCCCCATGGCCTATGTTTTGCTTTTTGAAGTCGGGCATTCGTTTGAACCCCTCGCTCAAATACGGACAGGACCCAATGCACAGCTTCAGCATAATCTCAATTCAACACCAACCATCAAAATCGAGCCCTCAATGCACCTGGCAACCAGAGATTGATGGGGACACCTGCTGTCAAGAAGCACTTTGGATCTTAGGCCAAAGCCTCGTGTTAGGATGAGGTCCAAAGAAGCAGCCGAAAACGGAGGGCTCCTTTTCTCTCTGAGGGATCCAATCCTGCTCCTTTTATCTCCGCCGTTCTGACGATTTCAGATAGCAAACGCAAGCCTCCTTAGAGGGTCCCCTAGTGCGGAGCAAAACCCGCATGAACAAACGTGTCAAAACAGGTGAACCCCTAAAATGGGGCGAGGTTCTTGCAGTGTGCCTTGAAATCAACCCAGCAAGGGGTACCATACCACACACGCGCACACACGCACATACAGACACACCCCTGCTGTTCAAACCAAATTGTGGCACAAAGTACAAAGACGCGCAACTAAGAACAGCACGACTGCTTTGCGTTTGTCGCGTTTATCTAAAACAACATGTGCTAAACTAACAATCATAATACATAACAAGAACACTCAGGTCATAATAATAATCATAATCATAATACCAATACTGGTGCCCATGAAAGTATTATTAGTGATACTAGTATTGCTTGTGATAAAATCATAAGAATAACAATCACAACATGACAAATGGTAATATTAGTAATGGTAATGAAAATCAGAATCATTGTAAACAAGGTGTTGGTGGTGCATGTAAAAGCGTTTGTATACTTGGTGGCTCCAGCCATCCCCTTGCCTTTTTACCCTTGTAGTGTTTAGTGGTAGTTTCCATTTAACCCACTAAAAGTGAGTCACTTTTAGCGGGGCATCTGAGGGGCCAGTTAACAAAGACAGAACCAAGAGACCTCAACAAACCTTTGCGCATAGGTGTCCTTTCTTCAGGTTATGTTGGTTAGAAATAAATGGCACTGGTTTAGGTTGGTTTTATTCCATTGACCGGGGAAACCCATCGAATTTGCCCAAAAAGGACACCTCTGCCTCGGTCGTTTTTGGCTCAGGAGGCGGCGGATGCGCTGCACATGGCCGTCAGGGGCGCGGAGGCCCATGGGAATCAGCGCCGTTGTTTGCTCCGGATGTCGAGGTGCCCGGCCTTCTCCGGTCTCTTGAGGACATGCATCTACCAGGTACCTCCCCATAGGTGCCATGTTAGTGGGAGGAAGGGTACTTTCATGCTAATCCCTCACTGCTCAGATGTTGGTTTCCCTTGCGGAGTACTGAGAAGGATGAGGGACAACCAAGCTAAACTTGGGTGAGCCGATGGGAGATCGACTTCTCGGAGATGCTCGTCGTGTTCTTCGGTGTTTAAAGCTTCCGGTTTCTAGGTAGCAGCTAAATGAGGTAACCCTTGAGTTTGTGGGATTCAGTCTATGGTTGAGCTGAACCATCCAGGCGGCTCGGAGGTTCATTCCCAAAGCTTCTGGAGTACGGGTTCGGACTCCAAAAGGATTTACCGATCGAAATCTGTCCTATGAAACCTCCCAAATGAGTTGTTGTTTTCTCCTCTTTTTTTTCTCGAAATTGATTTGGTTGAACAGCCCCCTTTGGCACTTTGGTTTGTTGTTGAAGGGCAACCAAAGTTCAAGAGCAACCCTTGCCATTTTAGGAATAGGAATGGACCAAGTCTTATTCTAAGAGTGAGGCATTTCCTTTTGCTGTTGTGGGGCCCAGCCGCCCAGTGTTTTTTTTGGAGGGCGGGGGGTCTTATTGTCAACTACCAAAGAGAGAGAGGCCCGGTTTTTCCCGGGGCCTGCTGTTTCTGGCTAGCTGTGTGTGCGGGGTTTGGGAACAGGAACAGGAACCCTACAGGCTATGAAAGGAATTAGTATTGGCAGAATTATTGGCAGGTATTTAGTTTGCTTTGGAATGGTTCTTCATTGTTCGATTTTGCGGGGGCAGACGCCGTCGTGAATCAGACATGTACGTAAGTTCCGTAAGGAGGGGGTTACTGACCAGGTAAGCCGCAATCATAGCCCCGGTAGATGAAGGTTAGTAAGGCACAATCCCATGGTTCCGGGTAGATGGATTATGACTCAGGTGTCAACAGCCTAAATATGAAACAGGATCTGCCTAGACGGGCCAGGTTTTGCCGCTTTGAGGGGTTCCAGAAAAAAATGAAAAGAAAACACACATCCACCGAGTGACACTACTGCCAGTGGACAAAATCCACGCCACCCGTTCGGATTGGTGTAATCCATCTGGTGCAGGATTGTTCCATCCACAGTATGAGTGCTTGCTAAGATATCGAATCCCCATTCTTGCTTGGTTCAGGCAAGTTTACCTGCGCATATGTTTTCTTTCGGAGGTTTCCAGTGTCACCTTTTGAGGTTTCTTTGTGATGTTTGAAGGGAAGTAGAGGCAACCCGCAAACAAAGGGCACTTCCCTGTCTGGAGCAGTGGCCCTGGGCTGTCTGGAAGAGCCTTGCGGACCCCGGAGCTTTCGACGCAACTTTCGTCTTGAGTCATGACCATAACAAAAGGCATGTGCTTTTGTATCCCTCTCAGCGAATCACCGCCCGCGGTGGAGCATTTAGAACAAGCATGCCAAACCAATGGCTCGCCTGTGACTCAGATTTCCCCATAGGTTGCCTGCTTATCGCTGCCTAGAGTCTATCCGCGGTCTGAAATGACGATTGGGAAAAAAAAAGTAGAGACATCGAGGAGTGTATAATTCCGCTGCCGCCTACCACTCATGACGGCGAATTTCAAAGGCGCCCAGATGACTCAACGTTGAGCTAAGTTGTCCAAGCTCAACAACTCATCAACGCCAATTGCGGCTTCCTGTCTACTGTATTACTATGGACTTGCTCGGTCAGGAGCCACTTGTTTGTTGGCTCATTTCCCGTTTGTCCAACAATCATAGGTGGACAAGGGGCATTTTCAACAGGATGATAGTCTTTCGACAACTGGCAAACTCTGACCTTTGGTTCTACCGACCTGGTTACAAGTTACACAACCCTGACCGTAAGTCCTACCAAGACTGAGAAGTCCCACTTGAATGGCCAATAGCGATTTCTGGCGGTGGTTGATTGAAGAAATCTTGCACCCCCTGTGGGAAACAACCGCTAGGTCCCCCAGTAGTGCCCTTTTACCCTTGTTTTGGGGAAGGGTTCCCCTACTAGAATAGACTACAGAAAAAAGGGTACCCGTATTCCAACCTCTCTTCTGGAGGACCTAGTTGAGGATGCTTCAGAAAATGGCAGCGAAACCAAGTTGACAATATTCTGGCACTCGGGTCTGAGGTGTTTTTTGTCTATGGGCAATTTGTTCCAGTGTCCGCCGTGTGTTTTGCATGTTTTTTTTCGCCGTGGCTCAACTGGTTCGCTTCTTTAGGGGGGGTTGAGTCACAATCAAACCTGACATTATCCCAGGGGTTGAGTCCCCATTTTTTTCAATCATCGTTCTTTCCAAAAACCTCCCGTTTTTTCCAGGGTTTCTGGAGGTTTTCTGGAAAGAAGGATCCCTGGAAAGAATGAGGAAGGTACCCCTAGAATTATCCCAGAACTATGAAACCGAGCCAGCGCAGGTCACTTTGCCCAAGCTCACTTCGCTGACTCTCTCCAACAACTCAGCGATCCTTGGCAGAGGGAGGCTCAGGTGCAGTGTGGATACCCTGAATCTCGCAGGTTAATCTTGGCCCATGAATCAACCTGGCAGATTGTGGGTGATTCGTCTCCCAACTTGAGGGTGGGACACCCCTTGCAGTGTAGATCGGCTTGGAATATTTGGATTGCCTCGGATTGGATTCCCATAGGGTTCCATTGCCCATCTCAGCAAGTGGCGCGACCAGTTTTATGGGGTGGTTAGGCCTACACAGAAACTTTGTGACCATGGAGCCGAAAGTCCATGGCTAAGATCCCTTTCGCTTGGGGTTGGCACGGATGGTCCTCCACCTCAACCAATCTAAAGGTTCCATGTTGGGGAGCACACGGTCCAGAGCTGATTGCCCCACACCCGTGTGGAATGTGACCAAGTCCGGATCCGCATTATCTAAGCCGGATTGTTCCACAAGGGAAGTCCGGGGAGCCATAGCCAGGCCCATGAGTTTTCACAATGGCAGATGTATCTCAGCAGACTCTATCGAGCTCACCGATTCGGAGGGGGGGGGGAGAATCTTTAGGTCTTTTGGGGATTTCAAATGTGCAGGTTTGGGAATTGCCATAGTAATAACTTGCCAGGAGTATGGGGAAAGGCGCGTGTATTGGGGGGTACGGACCCCCCACATAAATCTCCATACAGCACTTCGGGAGTGTTGATCTTGTTGCACTACGTGCTTTCAACCCCGGATTTAAGCAGAGTCTGGCCAATTTGACGTTCGGCGTGTTTTCCCTCACCAAATCACTCCAAAGCAGTCAGTTCTCCTCCAAAATGGGTTGCGCCTCTTAATCAAGATCAGCGGGTTGATTCCTGCGTTCCAAGAAATCCTTGGTTTTTCCCCGGGTGGCTTGGTAACATCTTTCATCTTTGCCCCTTAAACCGACGGTAGGACCTCGGGTCCCTTGGTTCCTTGCGACCCAAAGACCCCGGTGGCAGCGCTCAGCGCCTCAGCTCACTTGGTGCCTCGGAGGCTTGGGCCAAGTGGCTTCAAACCGGCTCGCGTGTCAGAAACCAAAAGGTCTGTTGGTTTTGAAAGTCACTACTGTTTTTGTGTTTTTTTTTCCAGGGGACTGTCAGGGGGTTTTGAAGGTGAATCGATTTCACTACTGTTGTTGTTTTTGTGTTTTTTTGTCCAGGGAACTTAAGCAAATGGAGGGACGTTTTCTAGGGGTACCTTCCATTTCGATTCTGAACCCAGGGATCCGGATCTTTCCAGAATTCCAGGGAAAACGGATCCGGTTTTTGAAAAGAGCGATGGTCGAAAAGAACGGGGAGTCAAGCAATAGAAAAGGAGGTTGTTCAAACACAAGTGATTTGGTCATGCCAAAACAAAGAGCGACAAAACAAGGGCTGAAATCACCCACCCATTCAAAAGGGAATCAGAACATCCAGTTGTTTCCTGTGAGGGGGGCTCCCTGAATTTGGAATTTACCAGGGGTTTAAAACAATAGCTCAGTGTTAGTGGTTTGAACCAGGGCTTGAATCGCTAAACTCCGCGTCCAAGGACTGCCATTGGGGTGCGTGGCTTGGCAGACGCGCTGCACGTGAACTGCATGCTGGCCACTCGGCTCGGAACATATCCGGGCGGGTGTTGGCGTGCTGAGCGAAACGTGTCCTAGCTTACTCCTAACATGGCTGTGGCTCAGAAAAATGTGCCAAAATGGCTCCTTGGTAGATGGAACCAAAGACTAAAACCTGCGTAACCCTAGCTCTTTATTTTTTGAGCCACATCCACATGATCAATGTTGGTCTCACCCCACAACCCCATTCTCATGATTTAGGCTCTTTACGTAAGAGATGAGTCGTGCCTGAAGGCACTGTTTTGGTGAGGGCATTCCGGATTCCAGAGACTTTCCGCCGGCCCTGCTTGCATTCTGATTCAACATAGGGGTTGGTTCCCAAGACCTTTCCCATTTGAGTTTGGAAAGGCCCTCCGGACAGAAGTTGGCAATTTCATTGTTTCTATTCTCATTCCAATCCCCTCATCCCCGCAATTCCCCGCAATCCTTTGCCAAGCCGGAAGCCTGGTTGCCTTGTGTATACGAAATCAATGAACCACAACCCGTACATCACTGGGGTCCTGTTTGGACCTGACCGACCCTCTGAAAGTGGTAGATGGCTTGGCTTTGTTTGAGGCATGGCGTTTATTGTTCAAACAGAGCAGCAAACACCGCCACTCCAGGGAGTTCAGGCATGTCCAAAAAGGGGCCAGAGATCCCCCCAAACAAGGCCTCAGCACGGCTGTTTGGGTCACTCCCTCATTCCTGTGTTGGGCTGCATGTTGGATTTGCATGTTGGGCTGCAGTAGTGCCCTTTTGCCAACTTTTTTTGGGGGGAGGGAAACCCCCTACTAAAATAGACTACAGAAAAAAGGTTACCCTTCTTCTAACCTCTCTACTGGAGGACCTAGGCTCCAAGGGTGCCTTGAATTCCCTTCAGGCAACCCTCACATCAAGTCCCCTTCCGCGCCAGCAGTTGCCGGGTGTATGTTATCCATGTGCGATCTCGTTGGGGCCTTGAATTTTATCTTGGCTGCAACATGCTCAACCCTTCCCTAGAATTAGCTCCCCTTGACTTTTTGCATTTTTGGGGTCCCTTTGTTTTCCACTCACCAGGCAAACGAGATATTTTGTTTGCCGGGGTCCAAGTTCCAGCCTGGAACTCACGCCCCGGCTTCGGTTCCTGAAGCTGAGGAGAAGGTGTGCATGGACCATTGCGAGCACCGGGACGCCGACCACGGCGTCCACTCCTTGGTCACGTCTTTACCGGCGAACACCACGCTGAGGCGCTCGAATTGGGTGAGGACGTTAGGTTGAGAGGCTCGGGGTGGAGTTGAGCTGGGAGGTGTGGTTTTTTTGGGTGGGGAAGTGGATAATTGTCCAAGTCCATTGACGGAGACTTGGGTCCATCGACCGGTTCCTTCCAAGTGTACCATCCTAGTTGCCCTCATGGTAAGGGAAGCTGGGCCAACGCAAGGGGCCCAAACAGGCGGCTAAAAGTCACCGCAGCCGTTTTGGTGTCCCAGCTGCCCAGTGGATTCCGCCCTTGTTTCAACTCTTTTTGGGGTAAGGGTTCCGATTCCTTGAAACTCAACCAACAAAAAAAGGAGGCCGATCCCTTTTTGTCCCATGAATCCTTTGAACTCAACCAACAGAGAAAAGATGCCGATCCCTTTTCTCCAACGAAAGTCCGCTGGGCATCTGAGGTGTGGTTTTAAAGGGAAACCGCAAGGAACGCATTTTTCCGCCATCCGAGTGTCTTGCCGTAAAGAAGCCACGGGTCGTATGGAGGCGTGCGATGGAAACATGAGCCAATTTGTTCAGGAGAAGTATCTACTGAGGGGTTGGGGCGGGGGAGAGAATCTGGCTGGAGAGTGAAGCACAGAACTGCAAATGCTGGAATTGTTGCGTGCGGCTGATTGAGAGGCATAGATGTGTTTGATGAGAGGCTCCTTTCTGAGATGAATCCTCCTGCCCGCATTAAGTTCTTTCTGATCCAAGACAGCCCTTACAACAAGCGCTGTGGCTTTTCCTGGAGGTGAATCCATTGGAAAAGCGTTGCGAGTCACCGCTCACATGACCGCTCTCGCAGAGCTCAACATGGCGAGCGACTTCAGGGGTTGGAGCAGCGAGGCACATGATTTCTTTCTTCTTTCTTTTTCCCGAGTTCCCCTTTCCTTGGTTTTAAACATCACCTTGGAGCCTTCTTTCAATGAGTTTTCCTTGATGGAGGGAGGGATACTGTGAATGGACGAGATCCATTTTGCACCACCATTTCAAACCTTTTCTTGGTTTTAAACATCACCTTGGGGCCTTGTGTTAAACACTGAGTGTCCCTCGTTCAAGGGAGAGATACTGTGGATGGTTGCGAGATCCATGTCGCACCACCGTTCAGAAACCCAAGGGAATGATTCGATTCCCCAAGGTAAATACCAAGAACCGTCATGGTTTCATTCCCATGGTTTCCGAATGGTGCGAAATGGATCGATCTCGTCCATCCAGAGATCTGGAGCTCGGATTCGGCCCTTCGGCCCTTCCCGCTCGAGGCACCTCAGCCTGTCCTGCGCCGTGCTGGGGCCGGCGGGGCTGGTGAATCTGGCGAAAGTGATGGCTGCCAACAAGGCCGACGCGCGAGTGGACTGCAAGAACACTCCAAGATCCCAGACACCCAGTGGGTTGCGGTTGCTTCCTTTGTCCCGTTTTGGAGGGGCCCCTCAAGCAAACAAGAAGGAGGTCGTGGGGCAAGAGTGGTTCTTTATTTTGTCCAGACCACTAGTTTAGTCGCTGACAGAAGCTCAACTGTTTGCCCTTCTGTGATTCTTTTCCGTTGCACTAGCTTTTCCGGGGTGGTCCAAGTCTGACCAAGCAGTGCCGCGCTCACCAAAAGGGGCAAAACGAGCGATGTCACTGATTCCCAGCCAACAGGCCGACAGATTGGTTGGGGCAAACAGATGGAAGCCTTCCGGCCTCAAGAAGCTGGGTGATGGACTCGTCATAGGTGTCCCTTTTTAGGTGAGCCCTGGTTAAAAATAGATGGGTTCCACTGGTTTAGATGTGTTTTTTGTTCCATTTACCAGGGTAGCCCATGGATTGTTCCACAAGGCCATAGCTCTCAGTTCGCTCCCCTCCACGTTGCTGTTACGCCAGGCTCTGCGAGTCTTAAACCTCTCGGGGAACATCTTCGACTCTGTGTCGGCGCAAGCGTGGGCTGTGACACTAGGCCGGAGCCATTGGTTCCCAGCGGGGGGGGGGGTGCGAGTCATGTGAACGAATAGAATGGCTGGTAGCGCATGTTGATCTTGGGAGTGTATAACACTCCACCCAAATTACCCGGCAAAGCTGAGGGGACAGCCCAAGTTGATGTCCTCTTGGGGAGACGAGTAATTTTGTCCGGGGCTCTTGTCAACTGACAAATATCACAGGCCACATCATCTGCATCAGTTTTTTGAGGAAAGTGTATCTTGCAGAGAGATATGGGTTTTTGCTTGTGGGTTTTCCAGATTGGGGGGGCCTTCGGTGTATGCTCCCCACCTGTGCGCGAATAGTGTCGGGCATTCGTGCAGTTGCGGGCTGGGCGCCTTGTATCGTGGACGGTCCGGATGTTTGACACGCGGCAATTTATTTACCTCACTTGCCGGACGCGAATCGACCTTTTGACCTTCTGCGGTTTTTCATGTTGGATCCATTTTCTGTAAAAGTCCCAAAAGGTTAACCTTTTTTCCCGGTGCTTTGGGCAAGTGAGTTACACGAAGTTGCACCGGCTCTACTGGCCAACTGAGATTGCGCACCCACAGTGAAAGCAACAGATTTGGGTCATGGGACATGTGAGGGCAGACTGAGGACAAAGGCCCTCGCTTGCTCAGTGGGATTTGTTGACCCATATGATGAGCAACTGACGCATTAATTTGCAGTCTAATGTTGTACAACAGGGCACTATGTACCCAATTCTCCCATCTTGTTTTGGGGAACGAAGATTGTCCGTGTGTAGGAAGCTACGCGGGACAGGCAGAATCCATGGATGGGTTTGCCAAACTGAACACCCTATCCATGGTAGTTGTTTGGGACACATTTTACATTTTTGCTTGTTGTGGTCTAGTGGTTGAAATCCAATTCCACTTAACTGCTAAAATTTGAGAATTTGTTTGCTCCCCTTCCAACGTCAACCAAGAATCCATCCCCACCTCGAACCCATTTCCAGGGGCCCTTCCACGGAGTTCTGGTGGTTCAGACAGGGGCAAATCGCCCCAGCCCTTTCGACCCGAAAAGTGGGTGGCAACTGTCTCCTGCACCAAACATCCGCATGCCCGAGGTTTTTCTGGGGTTCCTGCACGCGTAACAAAACGTTTGTTCGAGAAACTATGTAGACGTCCATGTGATACAATCCAAATAGAAACACTCATGATTGGTCCTAGCAAGGATATGCTTTGACCCTTTGAGTCAATGTACTGTGCATCCTCAGAGGTTACTTGAATCTGATGGGGGTACAACTCGCTAAACCCTTTCTCACCCACTTTTTTGGCGGAGGGTTCCCCTACTAAAATAGACTACAGAACAAAGGGTACCCTTATTCTAACCTGTGTTTTGGCTTAGTGGTACCTGAAGCAAAATTTTGGGAGACCCATCGAAACAAGCTATCCCAGCGAAGCGACTCGAACCTCACCTTGTGGGATTTGGATGCTGGTGATTTCACTCCGGCAATTCTTTCGGGAGTGGCACCCATCACAAGCTCGCGAATCGACCCTGCTCCTCTAGAGTGTGTTTCCCTCCACAATCCAGCCAGCCAGCCAGCCACTATGTAGCAGTTATATGTCGAGGGTACAATATACATATATGTATATATATATATATATTTATGGTCACCCGCCCCCCCCAGGGCCTACCTTTCCTCTCTTCCACTTGAAGGTGTCAAGTCTACTCCGTGTGCCTCGTTCTTGCAGATGCCTGAAAACACTGTAAAATACACTTTGTTTTGTTGATGTTATACTTTCTATATGACAGCAAATGCTTGCTTTGTTTGAGCTTGAAAGGCAACAAAGCGAAAACGGATTCCGTTTTCAGATTCGAGTCTGGCTTTGCTTGAGAACACCGGTTTTTTTCCGTGGTTTTGAGTACAGCAGGGAACAAGCATTGGAAAAAATGATGCTTTTTGCAGCTTTGAGCTTTGCAAGCTGCACAGGCCCAAAAGCACAAAATCTCCTGAAACTGAAAGCTCTGAGACCTGCACATGCCAAAATCCCAAACCAAGTTTGGGAGTCTGCGGATATTTGCGAAGATTTTTTTTGTTTAGCCACATTTAATCTAAATCATTTTTGGGAGTGAGTGCTTTTCCCCCAACAAACCACCCAGCCGGCCACTATGTAGCAACTATATGTCGAGGGTATACTATATATATGCATATATACATACATATATATATATATATATAGATATATATATATACACATACATATATATATATATACATATATATATATATATCATGGCGTGCTTTCCCGGGGGTACTGGACGCCATCTTCGAATCGCGCCAGGCGGCAACACAGCGCTGAAGCAGCTGTGCCTCAGCGCTTGCCATCTCAACGTCTGAGCCTCAGATCGATGGAGCAAGGAGTGACTTATCACGACCGATTTCACGACCGATGTCGCCCCAAATGGTGGCTTTATGTGGGGAAGAACCAATTCCCAACCACCGCAAGTTTCAGGTTGGTTAAAAGACAACACAAATCACCCAGAAGGAGGGTGGCTTGGCAACAGGGTTTTCAAGGAGGAAGCCAGAAACGGTGGAGCTTGGGATCATTTCTTTGGGGCATCTTGCCAAGGGATGTTGGGACTTTATTTTTTTTTGCCAACTAATGGGGTTTTCCGTATTAAACCCCTAAAAGTTATTCACTTTTAGCAGGGGAGCAGAAAGCAACCAAGATTTCCTCATTTCTTGCTGACCAGCAAGATGAGAATGGGGTTGGCCAAAACTTTCAACATGCTCTGGGGTTCCATGAGGTTTCCTAAGCAGCGACAGCCCTCTAGGAGAAAGTGGGCACTTCAAAGAAGCCGGCGGGGTCCAAGATCTTTCACCAATCGAACTTTTCACACACCGTCCTCTGATAAACCCACATCGTCATTGCACCCTTGCGGTGTTTTGGGACTCATTCTGTGAAAAAAGAGGATCCTGGAATCATCATATCCTTGAAGTTGCCATGGGGACCCAGGGAGCGACCCAAAGAAGATCTTGTTTTAAGAGGGGTGAACGATGAGTAAAAGACGGTTCCCCCCCTTTTGGCCGTTCTGTGGGAAAGCTTTCCTTCTTGCGCCGTCGTTTCGGGCGTGCATGCGTGCGTGCGCGCGTGTGGGCACGAGCGCGTGTATGCGCGCTGGAATCCTCATGTTGATGCAGTCCCAAGATGAGCTCGTACAAGCATCGATTGCAGCCCATGCCGGAGTGCCAGACATTTCGGGTACATTCCCGGCAAAGGGGTGGTATGGAAACATCGCATTTTGACTGAAGTGCTCCATTTGGTGAAATGATACTTCAGTGGGGGATCCCATATCAAAGTGTCATGGATCCCAAAGCTGCAGCCTGCGGGAGAGGCTTGGTGCCATTTCCTGTGGCTTTTTCAGGCCGTCCCTCCCCTTCAGCCCGAAATGGCTGAAGAGTTTATGGTCGGTAGCACTATAAGTGTCCAAAGGGTCCCACCAATGACCCCCCCCTAAATAGCAAACAAAAACTCCTAAAGTCCCGGGGTGCCTTGGCCACTTTCGACTCACAAACCCCCGGTGGATTGCTTTCAGGATGCCTTTGGGCCCGCCAAGCCGTCGCAACCCGAGGATGCGGCGGGCCAGGTGCTCGCCGAAGGCCTCGCGGAGAACGAAGGCGCGGAGGTAGAGATGCTCTGGACGCGAGATCCAGAAATCGCGCCACCGTTCTGAAACCCAACGGAAGGATTCGATTCCCCAACGTAAATACCAACGGACACTGGTTTCAACCATGGTGTCAAAGTGGTGCACGATTTCGTCCATCCACATGAAAAGGTTTCTATTGGTCTAGCCATTGGCTGTCTCTTTACCTCCCAACCTTTCATTCCAGTCTGGGTAAAGGGAAAGAGAAATGGCCCTTCCCCATGCATTAGATCCTCATATCAGCAAATCAAACAAGCTGCTCGTCATAACGGCTGCGGGAGCTTCAGCTAGGTCCCCCAGCTAGATGCCCTTTCTCACCAACTTTTTGGGGTTTTGGGTTCCCCTACTCAAATAAACTACAGAAAAAGTTGGTACCAACTTATTCTAACCTTTTGTAGTGGAGGCGGAGCCCAGCCTTACCGGGCACGCTCTCTAAGAGTCTTACAATGTCCATCAGATTCCACCTGATGGGCTATTCTCCAATAAACTCTAATTACCATGATGGGACTTTTTTGGGAGTAGTCTTAGGGTGTAGCTAAAAATGGATTCCCTTAACATCATGAGGACATTTCCACCGGTCACTTTCCCTGCGTCCATCAAGGCAACTCAAAGGGAGTTGCTTTCACCTTCATGTTCCTTTAGAAACCTGGAAGGTTGCTTTGAGGTGCGTGGAATGATGGTATGAGTTTTAGTTGGGGACAGAGCGGACACATGTCCGCCAAACATTCTTGGCGTCCATTTGGGGTTTGGAGGCTGATTGGCTGTCCATAGGTCCATTCACACCCGCGCAATCGACGGTCCTTCTTTGGGGAGGCTGGACCACCATTTTTTCTGTTTATCGGGTATGGTCTGGACATCTCAATCGAAGAAGCCAAACCTCCAATTACCTCTACCAGTTCTAAGGTTCTGCTAGGTCCCCCAGTATTGCCCGTTTACCAACTTTTTGGGGGGAGGGTTCCCCTACTAAAGTAGACTACAAAAAAAATAATCGGGTACCAACTTATTCTAACCTCTCAAATCTGGAGGACCTAGTCTGGGTTCACAAGACTCTTTTGACGAGTTCTGCTCAGTTCCCGGCTTCCGACTTCGGGCTTTGGGCTGGGAAGACCATGTCAGGTGGTTTTTTGCTTGTTTATGTTTTAACCAATCCACCAGGAAGTGAGCTTGAGAAGGTAAACCGCGGTTGATCTTTTCGCACCGCGGGGTTTGTCTGGAATCCCCCAAAATATGAACATATGGGCGTGTGCCGTAGAGGCCCAATAGCTGGTGGTTGAACCCAAATGGACACCAGCCATTTCCGGGGAGAGAAAAACAACCAAAAAAGAGAAACAGGCTTCCCTACCAAAAGGACACTCTCTTTCATATTTTGTCCGGCGCTCACTCGCGAGCTCCGAGAGGTCTGCAGCAGTTGTCCCTCCGCGACAATGCCTTGAGGGATCAAGCCGCCGCCGCTCTGGAGGAGGCGATCGATTTTGTTTTCAAGTCGGACGCCGTCGAACTCGAATCTTGCATTTGCGGAAAGGATTGGTTGGTTATTTTCCATCGTTTCGGCTTTAAAGGGAATCTATGACTACTCTAGTTGATTCCTTGTCCATTCTTTTCAGGCATAGTTCTTTTCAAGAACCAGCCATTTCCGCAGCGTTTTTGGTGGTTTCCTAGAAAGAAGGATCCCTGGACAGAATGGAAATGGAAGTTACCCCTAGAACTACCGGATGTGTTTTTTTCCTTTTTTTCCAAGGGGCTTACGCAATTCGAAGGGATGCCTTGGGGTCACGGTTCTGGGCGGTTCCCAGCCGTCCCCGTAGGCTAGGTGTTTGGGGGTTTGTGGGTCCCTGCAGAAATACGTGTTGGTGTTTCTTGTTGTGTTGCTTTTCTTCCATTTGCTTAAAGATATGTGTTGTGTTTCCCTGTCGGTCTTAAAAGGAATCTATCTTTTCTTCTTTTCTTTCTTTTCGTGGGACTTAAGCAAAAGGAGGCTTCTGAGGGGTGTTAAAGTCAGAAAGGTTGAAAGGCGGTTGTTTTTTCATTTCATCAAGGTTTCCAGGGATTATGCCTTGAACCATTATTTTGATTTGGTTTTTGGGGTTAAAGTCAGAAAGTGCATTCCTGTGTTTTCCTTTCACCCACCACTGAGGGGGGTGACTTTGGTGAAATAGTGAGACCAGTTGAAGCAAGGAAACTCGAGAATCGAAGCGCCAAGGTTGTCTGAGTCGAGATTCACGGTGCTGGGCCGGGTTTTTTTCCGCAGGATATGATGGATGCCAGAAATATGGCCAGCAGGGAAAAAGGAAGCCTGCAAGTTACCTCAATTTGCGTTACAACAAGCACGGACCTTTCTTTTCTGCGCAAAAAAACAAAAACACATTCATCTTCTGTCACTCAAAGCCACGAGACACTGAAGGCACGCGTTGGGAAATTGCTTTCGAGTTTCACCATGTTTGTGTTTGTTTCCCGGGAGAGGGGTTCACTCAACAGCGAGCCATGCCCGGGTTTTTGGGGTTGGCCGTGACGGATGTTCAAGCCTGTACTGGTTGCGGTCTCGCTTTGGCTTCCCTCAAAAAGAACCCCAGAAAGGCACCCCGCAAAACAAAGAAAACACACACACACACCATTGGGCATTTGGGGGCCTGAGGCAAGCCTTGTAGCTGGCACATCATGATTGACCATTTGTGTTCCTCTTTTGTTTGGGTCCACTGCAAAATGGTCATCCCAACGGGTCCTTCCTTTTGTGTCACTAGGCACCTGGAAGCTGGCACGTTACAAGCAAGAAAAGTGGGGCAATGCACAGGTGATTTTCTCAAAACGCCCTGGTGATCTCCGACCTGGTTGAACATTCAAGGACCAGCGGCCGTGATGTGAAAGGCCTGGGCTCCTCAGTATCACCCAAGCACCGTGAACGTAAAATGGTGACTGCCTGGGCGGGGGCTCCGAGCAACACCTTCGGCTTCTTAAAGTGAGAGCTTCTCGAAGGCGCGAGAGCGGTCCGTCGAGCACTGGCAATGGAAGCACAGTTCTGAAGGTCCTTGGACATGGCAATGGCATTGCTGGAGTTCCTGGGAATGGAAATGGAGTGCCTGCGACTCGTGGGCTTCTTTGCAAATCCTAGTTTCCCAATTTCCTCCTTTTCGCTTCCGAATCCTAGCTCAGTTTTTGGTTTCCGACTCCGACGTCGACCGCCCCCCACCCCCTCCCCCTTTGCCCTGAACGTGGTGCTTAGCCTCACGCTCCGTGAGGCCTTGCTGCACAACGGCACCCTGATCCAGCTGAACCTGGAGCTCAACAGCCGCCTGTCTCAATCTGTTTGCGCTGCGACAGCCCAGTTGCCCAGCTAGGTCCCCCAGCTAGGTGCCCCTGTTTAACCCCTTTTTTTGGGGGCGGGGTTTTGTGTTCCCCTTCTAATATAGACAGCAGAAAAAAGTTGGTACCAACTTATTCTCCTCCCTACTGGAGGACCTAACCAGTGGATTCCTGCCTTGTTTCAACATTTTTTTTGTGGAAGGTTCCGATTAATTGAAACTCGACCCTTCCCCAAAAAAGGATGCCGATCCTTCTTTTCCCATGGCAAATCCACTGGGCATCTGAGAAAAGGACCCCCCCCCCAATCCTGGACGAGCAACCTCCCAAGGCGCTTCCTATGGCCTCAGAGCCTGCTAAAGCCCATGAGCGTGTTCTTTCTTTTGGCAGGCCATATCCGGCCCATCCATTGAGCCAGCTGCCAAAAGACAAGCAAGACTCTTTTGGCTCACGAAAGTTCCGAGCGAGGTTTTGGAAACTGGCTCCAGCCTGCAGACAAGGGCAAGCGAGCCAGTAAGTTTCGGTAAGTTTCGTGTGACGCCAGACAGATTTTGTATTTTATTAGTTTTCCGACATTGGCAGCTTTAACGTCCGGTTTAGCAGTGGTTTGCCTTCATTGTCCCCTAGCAAAAGGTTCCCTTATAGGGTCAACTGCTCGCTTCCCTTCGGTTTATAGCAAGGCCTGGCAAGAATCTACTGTCGGTAGAACCAAACCTCAATGGGTGAGAAGGGCGCTCATTCGCAGCCAAACCATGTTTTCCATCAGCCGGCCTCCATACAATATACCCGTTTTCGGTTTAAGGGAAGCCCCCCGAGGGGATGGATTCACATGGTGTTTGTTTTGAGATTGTGGTGCAACTCTTGCTGCTGGATGCTTGCCCTTCCTGCGAGTAGCATGGAACCCACCAGCAGCTCCCTTGTGGGAGGGAATGTGCAGTTACTTCGATGGTTCGGGAGAAGCAGGCTGGTTGTAGAAAATTTGGGTTTGGTTTCCGGGTAGGGCCTGGGACGCCCAAATTTGCCCATCTATTCTGCGCGAAACAAACATATTATTGGGAGCTCCTAGTCTGTTCTTGCGCACAAGGGATACAGCAATCGCCACAGTCCAGGATAAGCCCCTGTATTCCCCTTTGAAAGTTGTGTTCCTTCCGGAAGAATCGGCCCCTTTTGTTCAACCGTTCGGGGCTAATCTGGGCATCTGACCACGGCGGGCTTTCAAGATCATGCATTTTTAGTGCTTATGATCGTGAAGGGTCCTTTCTTTAGGCCGGGTGAGTACTTGTTTTTCCTTCACCTAATGTCTACTAAAGATTAATGAACCCCCACATGAATCATTTGAACATATCGGCAAGTCCGGTCAGATGCCTGTGAACTGGGTCGCGTTCGAAAGGGTCCTGGGTCACGATGTTATCTGGGCAAATTAGCACGGGCTCACCGCGGGGTGAAACAAGCTCAGATGCTAGGTCCCCCAGTAGTGACTTAGTGCCCTCATACCATTTTTGGGGGGGCAGGGTTCCCCTTTCTAAAATAGACTACCGAAAAAAGCTTAAAACAACTCGGGTACCCTTATTCTAACCTCTCAAATCTGGAGGACCTAGGATGGGAAACCCCCGACAAATGACTAGTGACTCATGTCCTTATTTCCATCCCTCTCAAACCAACCAAAAAGGGGCAAACGGGCTCCCCCAAAAAAGCTACTCCCAGCAGTGCGAAATTCACTCGCTGATAGGCATTGACTTCCGCAGTTTGGCGAAGATCAAGCAGCTGGCAGGGGGCTTACAGTTTTGCATGGGCGCAAATCCCACATGGGTGTGGGTCAAAATTAAACTAGTAGGGGACCGCAGGTTTTAGTCCATGCTTCCATTTACTAAGGTTCCATTTCGGGTACCTATTTTTAACCCACAGCCCCATGAGCACAATCGAAACCCGGGTAGATGAAGGTTGGTAAGGGACAATCCCCTTGCCATAAATAGCTGCTAGCTGCGGGAATCCGCCTTCTTAATTCTTGAAGCATGGTTCTGGGTAGACCATTGTAATACCGGGTTTTGATTATGACTCACACAGCTTTTCATTGGGTTCCGTTCATTCCTGTTTAAAGATCACCCAAAAGGAAGTCACTTCAAACTGGCCCAAGTGTGATGTTGTTTGCATACCAACCCAAAGGAGACATACAAGCAATCCTGTTTCAGGCGAGGAAGCAACTTAACCATATTCGCACGGAGCATGGCTTGCAACACTTGAGCAACCGGGCCCTGGGCAGAAGACCAAGTGGCTTAAAATCCCTGCCTGCTTGTGTTTGGGTTACTCGGCTTCTTCTCTTCACTGGGTCGAAGTGTGGTTTCCTTAGTTGTTTTGCCCGCAATGCGCATTGACCAAATTTCACCGGTGCTGTTTGCTTTATGGGGACAGGATGATCATCACAGCGAGAGTTTCAGTTGTAGGAGATCTACTCGTACTGGACAATCACATTGTGCGGTCGACAGATCCCCTTAGGTGGGCATGAGAACTAGCCCCTTTGGGATTCTAAACTGGTAAGGATATCAAGAAAGCCACGAACATGGCCCACATAAGGAGCTGTGCCCACATCACATTTGTTGGTTTTCTTCACAGCGCCAGAAGGGAAGCACCTGCTGTTCACTAGTGCGCACTGCTTAAGTTGTGATGAGCTCATGAGGAGCAACGGCAAGCTGGGGTTGTCAATATTCAAGAAGGACACTTGGTCGGATGGCTACGGGGATTTTTTGTTGAAACTCTGGGGCAGTCGGAAATCGACACAGACGTGGATTTGATGTCCCGCATCGGCGCGCTGAGTTGGAGCGGAACTCCAAGATCAGAGACAAGGGCCTGCCGGACAAGTATCGCTCCTTGGCAATGGGTTGCTCCGAGCCTCTAATAGTTTGCTTTCAGAACAGTTTCACTGAGGGTATTCTTGTTGACAGCTATGACCATATTCCAGATACGGTTGGCTGCAAGTAGACGGCACGATTCCCCCCTTTGGGTTTAGACAGAATTGCTTACCCACAGAAAGGGAATCGTGTTGCTGTAGGATTGCTCCGAGCCAGACCAAACCACCAGGGGTAGAAAGTTGGTTTGCAGGTTTTAGCGTGCCCAAACTCTTTGGTTTGCACACCTGTCCTACAGGGACTTCTCCTTTGAAAAAAAGGTTCGACTCATTGAGTCAAGTCGAGGACTTCGGTTTCAGCCCTACCTTTACAGTGATCAGACGTTGTCTTAAAAGCGAATGCAAATTTGTTCCATGGGGCATCCTTAGTTTAGCACGCACATGAGATGCAAGGGGGCGATGAAGCAGTCGCTGTTCAAATGAATTCGTATGTGTTTATTGCGGAGACTACGTACATCAGGTTCATAGAGTTTTGAACAATAGGAGACTGCATTATCTTGGCCAAATCCTCGTTTCCAATGGTGAACTCTTAGTAATGTGCCCTCGAAGCCAACAGTAAGACACCGGGGGTGTAGTGCCCTTCCAAGGTGCGTTTTTCCAACGGAGCTCCAGGGAGTCTGGGCCAGGGATTCTCCAAGCAAGATGACGCCGGACGCCCCTAGAAATTTATCTTGCGTAAACTAGGTCCCCCAGTAGTGCCCTTTTTAACCCCTTGGTTTGGGGGAGGATTCCCCTAAGATAGACTACAGAAAAAAGTTGGTACCCTTATTCGAACCTCTCTACTGGAGGACCTAGTAAAGGTCACCTGTTGGTTTCCAATTCAAAGTTCACTTCCTCTTTGGCGGTGTTCCTTTCTTGATCAGGAAATGCAGGAAACCCTGCAAATGTAAGAATCGATTGCACTTGTTGTTTTTTCTGTTTTGTGCCCCAACAACGCGAAACTCGCTTTGCATTGGCAACCAAGAGATGATGTCAAGCTCCTTTTTTTTGGGTGTCCCCTTGTCCGGGGCGGTATTTTCAACCAGCACCAGTTGCTCAAGGACACTTCTATTTTGTGTCCTTGATTCTTGGGGCACAAATCCCAGAACTTCGCCTTCCAGCCATGAAACTCCAAAGATGTTGGCTCGTCGCCCTCCTTTTGGCTCGTCCGCCCTTAAAGGAAACCATAGGTGGTTTTTGGGCTTCATTCCCGCATGTACTAGCCGGTTTTGGGGATTTCCCCCAAGGAGGCGAGTGAAAAACTGGTGAAGCTCGACCCGGGTTTGGACGGGACCAGGCTCCCGCATCGGGGACCTGTCGCAGTGCAAGCCGGGGACCCGGCGGGTTTGGCCGAACTTGGCCTGGTTTGTTTTGGGGTGGTACTGTGGATGGACGAAATCCTGCACCACCTAAGACAACCCGGAATGATGATTCCACTGCAAATACCTGCAAACAATGGCTTCCCGTGGTTTGTCCATCCACAGTAGGTCAGGTGTCATGAGTTTGGCGTGTTTTTTTTTTGGTTATCCAAGTCAGAGAATGGGGTTTATTTTGACGGTTTCTTGGGGTTATCCAAGTCAGAGAATGGGGTTCTTTCCCTTTAACCCACCACTTAGGGGGTGACTTGGATCATGGTAGAATAAGGAGGCCAGTAGGTGGTGTAAAAGGGACACTTTTTTGGGACACTTTTTGGGTTTGGACCGTAGTCGCAAACTAAAAGTTTGGGGACTTTTGCTCACTCCAATCAGGAAGTGAGTTAAAGGGAGCTTCAAGGGAAACCACCGATTTTCAGGTTCCCTCATTAAACAAACAAAAGCATCCGTATCACTAGGCATGGCCCGACTTGATTAGTCTCAGACAAGGTTGTTGGAGAAATCTGGCCGTTGCTTTAGGCGCTGGTTTTTGTAGGAGGTCAAAGAGCAGTGTTGTTCACATGATGTTGTTCTAGATTCATACTGTATTCCAATCCTAGAAGGCCGTAAGATACATCTGGGCAAATTAGCTCACATGCTCGCAGGTCAAGATTACAGAGTGAGCTCCACCCGTGTGTGTGTGTGTGGTCCTTTATGTGGTCGGATTCCTCAAGTCTAATCTGTGCAGTATAACTAGGTCCCCCAGTAGTTCCCTTTGACCCTTTTCTTGGGGAGGGTTCCCCTACTAAAATAGACTGCAGAAAAAAAAGGGCACCCTTATTCTAACCTCTCTACTGGAGGACCTAGATAATCATATTCGCCCAGATCTTCGAGTTGCACCCCTCTTTCAGATCCTGCACTTTTGTTTGCTTTGCCATTTGAGACTGGCTGCATAGGATTGGGTTTGAGTCTTGTGTATTTGCAGTTTCTTTAGCAGGACCAGTGGTGTCTAGATACTCACATGTGTATATATATATATATATATATACGTATTTCATTGATCATGGCTGCGAATTGTCTTGTTCCCTTACATGACTCCAGACTTTCAGATCCCATCCAAAACATATCTGTTGATTCCTGGTTGGGGGCCTTTCGTTTCCCCACTATGCGTGGACGGGCACAGGCGGGAAGTGGAACGGATGACGAAGGTGCTTTCGAGGACGGGAATTTGCGCTGGGTGCCGTCTCCGTTTTGTTTACTACCCTGGTTGGTTTGAAGCTAGGTCCCCCAGCTAGGTGTCCTTTTAACCAACTCTTTTGGGGGGAGGGTTCCCCTACTAAAACAGACTACAGCAAGAAAAAGAAGAAGAAAAAACGGGTACCCTTGTTCTAACCTCTCAAATCTGGAGGACCTAGGAAAGGAGACCACCGGTTTTGGGACACTCCCCATTTCGTCCGGGTTTCGGGGAGTTGGACCTGAAAAGGAGCCCTTGCTTCGGAGCCTCCGTTTCGCATGGTTCTGCGCCGCCTCGTTCAAGGGGTCCCAAAGCGAGCCATCATTCGGTCATGTCTGGGCAAATGTTTTGGCCACCTCTCCTACAGGCTGTTGGTTTGCGACCGCCGGTCAATGAATTCCAGTTGTGCGTGCAGGTATGGGTTTGTCTTCAAATGTGGGACCCACACAATTGCGTGTGTTCGCTTTGGTGTTCCATGAAAAGAAACGCCCCAAAGGGGAAACCCCAAAAAAGGACACCACTTTCCCCGTTTTGAAGGCTGAAAAGTCACCCTCCGGCCAAGCCTCATTCGATACCTGAACGTTTGTCGTGCGCAGAAACCACCAGAAGAAACGCATCGCTCTCTGGAAGCAAGCAGCGAAGGTGCAGGCGCAGCGATTTCAGTTTGGGTGGTTTGACTCGATCGCTTGTCCAAAACAGACCTTTTGACCTGCTGGTGCTCTTTGTTTTTTCCGTCCATGTTCCACAAGGGACCTATTGTGACCTGTTGTTTCCAGGTCCTTTATGCAGCGGAGGGACTCTTCGCGTCATTTTGATGCTAAAAAACCGCACCATGCCAATCGGACCCCAAAAAATGAATTGAACCCCACTAGAGGAACCACCCTGCACTGTCGTCCGGATTCCAAAGTTAGAACTGGCAGCTCCAGTGCTACATTGGTTTTAACTCTTAAGGGTGTTCAAACTTTTTGAGGGCAGTGTGTTGGAAAGGAAGCAACTGATGGTTGCGGGACATTGGGTTTGAGGTTGCATGGTTTCTGATGGAATCTCACCCCGAGACCCTGAACTCTATCTAGGTAAGATAGTTTTACTGGCAAGCAAGACGTGTTTTTTGTCAATCCACGCAGGAAGTGAGGAATCCGCTTGCGAGTGACACAGTGGTCATACACATGGCCAATCTTAACATGACAGAAAGGATCAGACAGGTGTCTAATATATGTACATATATATATACATTGATATATACATATATATATATATATACATAGATATATATATATACATACATGAAACAACGATGGGAAACCCGAGCACGCTGCCTAATGCAGAGGCCTGTCGCTTCTTTTTTTCTATCGGCGCACATTTGCTACACGGCCCGAGTTTGTTGATGTTGCACTCGGCGCAGAGGCAAGGGAAGATTGCATGTAACTTTCTTGTTAGGTGTGTGTGTGTGTGTTTTTTTTTCAATGGGGCACCCTTGGCCTTTGGTTTTCCTGTGAAACCACTTCAAAAGGATTCCCCTAAAAGAAGACAGGTGGTGTTAACCCCGGATTGATTCTCGGGTGATTTTTCCGGTAATTTGAATCTTGCCCTAAGCAAATTCAAGCAGGGGTCGATTACTTTCTGTAGCAAGACACACTGCTTTGTCCAGAGAGGCAAACTTCTGAGGAAACCACATCCTCCCTTTCGACTTTTTGCTATGGCTTGTTTGGAGGGATTACGTGCACATCCTTTGGCGTCCCTTGACGGACATTCGCCCATGAGCCCTTATGCGTGAAAGCTGTTCGAAAAGGAATACTTATTGCCAGAACCAACTTGCTTCGTTTGTTGGATTATAACAACCAGAAGGAGCACCCGGGCCTGAAACAGAATTTAGAGCTGGACACTGTATGGGATGCGCATGTTGTTTCTTATCAAGAGGAAACGGCGAAGGGGTGATGAATCTAAGTGAATCTTGCACTGCACCCACTCCAATACACCCAAGAAAAACCGGAGTATAATCCTATTTATGTATAGTGGAGTAAAAGTTGGTTAGACAATTACCACACTTCCCCTGTTGAACGGTTGGAGTTGTGGTTGGACCCTCGAAACACAGGGGTTGTGAGCTGTGTGGGTGCCGTGTGCCGCTCAGAAGCTGAAAGATGAGAAAGAGGAAGACCGCCAGAGGCGGCTTCTGCGCCTCACAAAAGCGGGAAAATGCGGTCAGGATCATAGGTCTGCGGGCCGAAAAGGGATGGTTGCCCTAATGTCGACCCCGGATGAATAAACCCCCTGTTTATGGGGGGTGTTCCCTCCGCAAGTGATAAATGTTCACTAAACCCAGCGACACCCCCATAATAAACAGGGGTTTATTCATCCGGGGTCGACATTGGCTGGCACTGATTGGCCTCTAGACCAGGTGAACCTCTTCTTTTTTTTGTTTATCCCTATTTTGTTTTTGTGTTTTTGGTTTTTCCTTGTATGTCTTGGAGTTGCTAACTGTCACTAGGTCCCCCAGCTAGGTGCCCTTTCTTACCCCTTTTTTGGGGGAGGGTTCCCCTAGTAAAATAGACTACAGAAAAGGTTGGTACCCTTATTCTAACCTCTCTACTGGAGGACCTCGTGATCATAGGATCAAAGACGTAGGAAGTATCGCAAGGCTCCTCATGTTATGTGTGGGTGTTACTATATGTTTGCGGGAGGGTTCTGGTTCAAGCATTTTGTCTCCATCGGATTCCAACCCCACTCCCAGAACCACCCCACCCTATCTCCGGGTTTGGTCTCATTTGAAGCAAACCAGGCGGAGGGCGTTTCGGCTAGGGGGAGTTGGCATCTTATGATTGTAAAGAGGGTCTGCAAATGTTTGCAAAGAACAAAAGTGTTTCCCCACATATTGGGGGTTGAGACTGTTATCAATTATGGCTTGTCTTCACAGTTGATCATCCCAGAAACAATCAAGTTTCAAAGTTGCTCACTCTAAAGGAAAGATACATTGTTGAGGTGCCTCCCTGCATGCTTTTCGCTTTTGCTTGCGAGAGGGTGCCACACGATGCGCAGCCATCAAAAAGAGTCCCCACCAAATACTAAATGGATAGGTAGGGGTCCACATCCCTTCACTTCTTGTACATGTTCCATGGCTTCTCTTGGTGGGTCAACAGAATTCATGTTTCAAGCAGGGGGGTGTTGACGGTTGCGGGGATCTTCCAGTTTTTGTTCCTGAGTCTTGTAGCCTTCCTGTCTCCACTGGAGGGATTGTGGTTTGAGGTCCCCCCATGGTTGTTGGGAACATTTTACATTTTTGCATCTTGTGTTTTAGCGGTTGAAATCCAAATCCACGCAACAGCTAAAAAACATCTCAATGTTTGCTCCCCTAACGTCAACCAAGCGGCCGCCCCATGGTGGGAGCTCGTATCCAGCGGTTTCCCGACGCCGAAGTCACATATCCTATGGCCTTGGACCACGCCCGTCCGGAGACTTCAGCCTATGACACGTTTCAATTGGCGGCAAATGTCCTTTGTTTGGGTGTGTCCTTTTTTGTGTGGGTATTTGTGGGTTGGTCAAAAAATGGGCAACCAAGGGAAACTGAAGCCACTTTTGAGGGTTCCCTATTCTGAGACCCATACTGTGGATGGACGCACTCCATTTCGCACCACCTTTCAGAAACCCTGGAATGATTCGATTCCCCCGTAAATACACAACCACCTAAGAAACCCTGGAATGATGATTCTCCAACGTAAATACCAACAAATACTGGTTTTCACTGGTTTCAAAGTGATGCAAAATGGATTTCGCAACCATCCACAGGGAGCCCTTGAGGCAGAGGCTGCAAGTCTTTCAGCTCCTCAAGCTGTCGCGGGAGCACGATGCCCCACTTCAGTTAGCAGGTCCCCGAGTGCCCTTTTGCTTCTTTTTTTTTTTGGGGGGGGGGTGTCCAAACCAGAATAGACAAAGCCGAACAAGACGGTACCAACTTATTCTAACATATTCTAACCCCTCGACAGGACCTAGGTGAGTTCCCCTTTCCCTCATTCTATGGTCTCTGAGCATCTGCGTGTTTGCGTTTGGCCCGCTCCGGCTGGAAAGCCCACGGAAGGTGGGGCTTGCCCATTTCGCGGACCTAAATTTACGAGGAAGGGCCTTTGGACAAATCAAGTTGGAGCTTCACGGGTAGGTCACCAGTGCGTGGGTATCTGTGAATCTAAGTCTAGATCTGTCCAGTGGCGCGCCCTCCCATGCAGCAGTCCCAAGCCGCAAGCGCACGAGTTGTTTTTGCTCAGTCGGCAGGCAGGAGCAAGTGGAGGAGCAATTGCAGGAGCTGCTGCAGACGCAAGAGCAGATGGACCAGGACCGCTGGAATCTTTCATCGACCCAAAGCCAAGCTGCAGGTCCATTTTTTTGTTAGGAGGTCCTTCTAATGTTGACACGATATTAATAGGGGGGTGTCACTGGGGAATCATCGGGGAGCACCCCCCTATTAATTTAGACAGGGGTTGATTCATATGGGGTCAACATTACCCCGCAGAAAGATTGTGAGATTGCTTCGAACGACCTCCTACAAACATCTCCTGGGTGTTGGGGGGGGGGGGGGGGGGGAGGAACTTTGGGTTTCCACCAAAAACAACGGCCTTGGGTTTCCTTGTTTTTGGAAGGTGCAATATGTGGTCTATCGCCCCCCATTGAATTTGAGAGGGTCTATCGGTGAAACCGCGGAGGAATCGCACCATGCCGATGTTCACGCCCGCGCCGTTTGGGCTCACGACAATGCCAGAATCTAGGCACCTGCAGAAGAACAAGCGGAGGGAGCAAGTTAGAAAGTCTTGTCCCTGAGGATGAAAGCGAAGCAATTACCCGTTCTATCCTTCCGTGGAGATCAGAGTCAGCTGTGGTGTCATTGTCTGCAATCCCGGTCGCTCGTTGCAACGGCACCAAGCCACATCTGTGTGGAATTTACAAGCGGAGCACGCTTTGGTCGACATCCTTTAGGGGTTCATGTCCACCAACCACTTTTGAGGTGGTTCCCCATTAAAGTGCGCAGCCATATTGCATTTAACCAAATATATAATTCCTTGTAACGGAGACCATGTTTTCCGCGGTGAAGATTGTCTCTTTGCGCCCCATCTTGGAGCCCAGCGTTGTCAGGCCATGTTTTTAGCTACTGTACATGACTGGGCGCGAACTACTTGGTAAACCTCCCAGATGGCACAACGCTCTTGAGCGCCGGAGCTCATGGCATGGCGACGTCGACACAAGGTACGGAGCACACGTTCCCCATTAATTGAGCACACAGATGCCCGATGGTGCCTTTGTTCTTTTTTTGGAGGGGGTTCCCCTTGCAGTCAACTTAGTCAAACAAGTGTGCCGTTTCTTTTGTTAGGGTTGGGTTCTCATTGAAAATGACCGTTGGTACCTTGTCAAATCTGTCTTTGAGGAACCATTTGGGCGGTTGTTGTTGGTGGTGGTGGTGGGTGGGCGGGCGGGCAGGTGGGCGGGGGCGGGCGGGTGGGCGGGCGGGCGGGCGGGCCGGCGGGCGCGCGGGCGGGTGGGTGGGTGGCGTTTGGCGGCTGGCGGCTGGCTGGTTAGCGGGGTTGGTGGAGTGGGGTTGGTGGGTGGGGTGGGTGGGGTGGGTGGGGTGGGTAGGGTGATTGGTGGGATTGGTGGGGTTGGTGGGGTGGGTGGGGTTGGGGTTGGTGGGTGGAGTGGGTGGAGTGGGTGGGGTTGGTGGGGTGGGTGGGGTGGGTAGGGGTGGGTGGGGGTGGGTGGGGTTGGTGGGGGTGGTGGTTGGTGGTTGTGGTTATTGTATTTGTTGTTCCTGATCGCGGATTATCTACTTGAAAGGGCTCCGGCAGGTCTTGCTCGCATATGCCAAGAGTTGTAGCTCAACCGAATCCCCAGCCCCGAATTGAAGCGAGTCCATCTACAAGGGTCCCATGGTCCGTGGGACGGAAACCAATGTACCAGCGTAAACCTACATGTTAGGGGATACAGCCAAGCTTGAGCGGTGACAACACACTACCTGAGGTCACCATGGGTCACCCATAAAGGCTCCTGTCTTCGGGTCTCAAAAAATTCCATTCGGTAATAACTGCCTCATTTTCAGGTAGGTCAGGTTGGTGGATGACAATGTGCCTAGATGGTTGTGTTTGTTTTACGTTTCCCTGTTTCACCTTGGGGGGAAACCAAAAGTTTGGGTCCCCCGATTTCAACAGATGCTGTCCCTTGCTCAGGCAACCCGCTCTGCTGGCAAGATGGCGGCGGCCTCTGTCTTGGGGTCGCACCTCTTCAGTGTCCAAAGAAAAAACACGCGGGGCATGCCCTTGGTTCCCCTTCTTTTTGGACAGGGGGTTGCCGAGTGCCCTCTAAAATAAGCTACCAAAAGGGATCTGGGCCATGTCAGTGCAAACTGTCGATGATACTGTGGATGGATAAACTCTACTTCGGATCAGTTGGTAGGTGGTTTATCCCAGCATTAGAGTTTCATCCATCCCAACTGGTGCCTATCGCGGATTCCGTGCTTCCAAATTTATGTCGTCCAAGCTTTTGGGTTGTCTTCCCATCTGTCCATAGGAACCTCTCCCCAAAACCCCGGAACTGCGCCCTCAAGAAATACCAAAGACGCTCTGCTTTCTTCGCAAGACTTGCATTGAAACTGAAAGTACTTCTTGGATGGGCCAGCTGGAAACTGGGCTCCCTTGGAGATGTGGGCCAAGTTTACTTGTTGGATGTGCTTGTTCGGTGTTTCTCTCTCACTTTCCCTCTTTGGGAAAAAGCTGGCGACTTGCACTTTCTGTCCTGGTTGTTGTTGGGAAGCCTGTTACATTCTTGCTTTTTGTGGTTTAGTGGTTGAAATCCGAATCCACTGAACTGCTAACATTTGATTATATATATATATATATATATATATATATGTATATATATATATGTATATATTTGTTCTCCCCTTCCAACGTCAACCAAGGTTCTCCTAGTGGTTGATCACAGTTAAACGTTGTGCACCTTCAACGTCCACCGAGCTGTGGATGTGCCCTCCCCCAGAGCTCCCGGGAAGCGCCGAGCCGAAGCAGCCGATTCTTTGACGCAGCGCCGAGGCGGCTATAGCTTCGACTTCTGCTGCGGCGAGGCGGGGATCAGATGGCAGTGGATATGGTCAAATTTCACCATCTAGGTCCCCCAGTAGTGCCCTTTTACCCTTTTTGGAGGGAGGGTTCCCCTACTAAAATAGACTGCAGAAAAAATAGGGTACCCTTATTGTAACCTCTCTACTGGAGGATCTAGCCATGTTGTTTGGGGTAAGGATTGTAATGAGCCTCTATTTTTAGTGGTTGGATTGAATCGGATGTTCACTGGGGCTTTGGACATCCATGCCACCACAAATTCCTATTGATGCCCATCATTCTCTTACTTGGGGCTTTGGACAACCAATAGTTACAAAATCCTATTGAGTCAACCACGCCCATGCGCATTGCAAGGTCAAGGTTTGGAGGTATTTATGGCTTCGACAGCCAATCTGTGCGTTGGTCTCCAAGCGTGGGCACCCCCTCCTAAAATATTCGGAAGGGTTTCCGGTGTTCTTTTTGTTTCCGCCTACTCATTTGCCCAAAGTCCGCCTTTCTTGGTTTCCTCTTGTTTTACCCCAAACTGGGATTGGACCCGTGTCTCTAAAGACGAGAGCTTGATGAGTTCCACGTGTTCTTCTTGGGGGAGTCTTATGATCACTGTTCTTGGCATGTGTTTTTGGTATTGTTTGGTGTTGGTATTTGGCCTCTCGTCCATTTTGTGTTGCTAGCATGCCAAGGGTTGGAAAGCTTCCGATTGATCCTTCGCAGGTGTATGAGCCGTGTTTTTTGGGATTTGAGATGCTTCGGAATCAGCCAGATCTTTCCAAGAGAGACATCAGGGCCCGGCCTCTTGCCCCTAAGCCTTTCTGAGTGATTCGGCACAGAACTTGTCAACTTTGCCTTTGGCATGGAACTTTTGCATTTTGCCCCAACAAACACATCAAAAGATGGTGAAGTGTGCAGTTGGTTTCGGGCGCCCTTCGCATCCTCGGAAACGTTCCTTTGGCCCAGGGCGCCCACAACATGCTGGGCAACCCTTCCTGCTGGGAAGGCCCCCGGAGCTTCCAGCCGCGTGGAGACATTGGCGATTTTGGGGCGGCGCAGTCTTTTCACGCCCAAAAGGACACGAGTCCCGTCTAAAGATTTCAGCAGGTAACATAAAGGTCGAGTAAATTCCATGAAGGTCTGAACATGGGAAGTGACGGCTGGCTTGCAGACGTTATGCAAAGGAAGCCAAACACACAGGCCCAAGCAGTCGAGGCGCACGCGGTGCTTTGTTCAGGGAATTTATTTACAGCTGGGAGTTGAGGGACCCTCTCTTCAGTCCAAGTGGACCGCGGGGTTCCCAGGAGCTTGGCACTCTTCCAAGCCCCTATTGAGGCTTTTAAGGGTAAAGTCTTCTGCAGAGCATGGCTATGAAGGCACTGGGAACTCCAGCAAAGTGAACAGCTGATCCTTTTCAGTACCAACCTCTGAGTCACTTGAGGGTTGACACAAAAAAGTTGCCAGTGTCCAAAAGTATGAGCGTCCTTTTGGTTTCCCTTTACCAACCCAAAAGGGGTACCACCTAAAAAAAAGGCAGCCGCATATGCCCATGGGTCAAAAAATCCCGTACCCACAGCGCCATATTTGTGTTTGCCCCTTTTGGTGGTTGGATTCAGGCCACCTTTTGGAGGGGTTTGCACCCAAAAAAACTGGGACGGTCCCCTTGTGGTTGGATTCAGCCCACTTTTGGGAACACCCCAAAAAACTGACTGGGACGGGTGGTCTGACTCTGACTCCTCCACGCTCTCTGTCCAGCGCCACGTCTCAGGACTTGCTGCCTTCCGGCCAGCTACGAAGCCGCCTGCTGGAGGGAGGCCAGGGACTTCCTGCGCCCCTCGGCCTCGGCGCGCGGCCACGCGTCGCTTCGCGGTGAACGGGTCGCTGGGTGGAGGGAAAAATTTTGGGCGGCGGGGGGGGGGGGGGGAAAGGGGTAGAGTCTGAGAGGCTCAAAACGGCTTAAGGGGGCTGAAGCCGTCGGTTGCAAACATGCCCCCCTGCATCTTGCCGAAAGTATGGTTGAACCATTCAACACTGAGGCACTCAGACGCTTTTGCCTTCTCTTGCAGACAAGGAGGTCCTTGCAACCGACCTGCCGCTCGGCAGTGATCGTGTGGCACATGATTCGTCTTGAGCACGTGCGCCTGTTTCATTGGCGTGTCTGTGCATCATACCCTCAAAACAGGCCCCATGTTTTGTTCAGGCAGCCCTTTCTGGGGCTGTTTGAAGAGAGAATACATTTTCGGAAAA